GCTTATCGGACGGTTCCCAGGCGCGCGGTGCACGTGGGTCTTTATCGAACGGTCACTCGGTGGAGCAGTAACCTGGACACGTGGCGTGTAGTGATTCAATAAGTCGATAGCGTATAATAACGGACGATGCGCGGCCGCGAGTTCAGCGCGCAGCCGGGAGTCGGTGCGCAGTCGTGCCGTTACACGATGGGTCCGGAGACGCTCCGTCCTGGCCGTGGTTCCGCGGGCGCTTTCTTCGGGCATGGCTTTCCCCTCTGCGACGTTTTTGCCCTCGATATCCCGTTCTCCGGTGAGTTCTTTCGCTCTTCAGCTCTTACTCGATCTGAATTGTTTCTTCCGTTTCATTCCTGTGCAGACGTTTTCGATCAAGCAGGCTGGTCTCTCGAGGATGCGGGTCTGCCAGCTGATGATCCTGTCCTCAACGCCCTTCTGTCAGAACGGCGCGCGCGCGCGGTCCACTCTCGCGCAGCGGGCACAGTATCGACATACATTGGTCCTTGGCAGCGCCGTTAAGTCTTTCTGCAAGGCTCGGAATGTGTCTCCCCTCCCAGCTTCTCCGCTTACGGTAGCTCTGTACATGACGTTTCTTCTCCGCACTGCCAAGTCGCCTAGCCCAGTTCTTTCGTGCTCCGGTGCCATTTTCTTCCATCATTCGCTAGCGGGTCTCCCTTCCCCCACTCAGCATCCCATGGTCGCGATGGCTCGTCAGATTGCTCGGCGGACGCTTACGAAGGGCAAGAATCAGAAGAAACCTCTGCTGGCGTCACACGTCTTCCGCTTGTTCGACATTTGGTATCTGTCCCCGAGCGCCGATCATCTTTCTTCTGCGATGAAGCTGGCTGCCATCTCCCTGTGCTACACGGGTTTCTTTCGCTTCTCCGATCTGATGACTGTTTAGTGGCAGGAGATTCGCTTCGAGCCCACTCACATGGAGTGTTTTCTGGAGAAGTCTAAGACGGATCAATTTCGAGAGGGCCGTTGGGTCCTGGAGTCTCCCGGGTGGGAGGAGACCGCTGCGTGGTTAGCTTAACCGAGTCTCTGATACCCTTCGGGGGTTACGCTGACGTTGGGCCGGGCGGCCTTATCCGCAACATCTCTGTCACTCCCCTTGGCCAGCGTGTTTGCAGTAGCGCCCGTGCTACACCACGGTGAACGGGTGGTTCAAGGAAGCCGCCATTCTGCTCGGCCTCGATCCTGCCAAGTACGCAACTCATTCTGGTCGCCGGGGTGGCGCGACGCGCGCCGCCAACGTGGACGTTCCTGATCGGCTCTTCAAGGAGCATGGTGGCTGGCGTTCCGAGCGTGCGAAAGATGGCTACGTGGTGACACGTCTGCAGGCACGTCTTTCTGTTACTCGTGCCTTAGGTCTGCAGCCTGGTGTGTCTTTGTCTGAGCTCCAGCGTTTCGAGTTAGAATCTTGGTTAGCTTAACTACCACCTGCCTCTGACCTTCTGTAGTACCACGAGCACGCTTGCCTAATCTCGTGTCTCACATCATTCTTCTGCGTGAATGTGTGTATGTGCAGTGTGTGTGTGTGCTTGCGAATTTTATGCAAGCACCAAGAGAATTGTAGATTCTCAGCGCGCGCAGCGCGATGAGAATCGCGGTTCTCTTGGCGCGAACCGCTTCAAATTTGCAATTTGCGCCACGCAGCGGCCGCGACGTCGCGCAGCGACGTATAAAAGAGCAGATTTCTGCTCTTCTTCTTCATTCTGCTTTCTCGTGCTACACCAAACGCTTCGAAGTCCGCTTCGAAAACCCCGCCCGCCCGCCCGTTCTCGTTCTGCTGTTGTTTTCTTCATTCCTTCTGCAGTATGTCGTCCCGCGCGCGCCCCTGAGATCTACCCCGCCTCGCGTCGCTTCTCCTCGCCGCCGGTTCCTCAATTCGAGTACCTTTTCCCTACCGGCCAATGACGTGGCTCCGCTTCCGCGGCCCGATCCGGCGGAGGGTTTTTAACGGCTCACCCGGCGGCGGCGAGAAGACCGATTCTTAATTAGGGCGTACTAAATTGCAGGGTAGATCTCAGAGGCGTGCGTTAGTGCATACATACTTCGATAGTTGTAGCGGCCCGTAGTTTAGTTGTTCGCCCACGGTCAAACCTTGTTCGTTTTGATGCATTCGATCTGACGGGCGTCAGCAGTTGTGCTTGGCACATCGTAGAGTTTTAGCTAACCATTTCCGTTAGCTGTTGCTTAGCTTAGCATATTCTGAACCCGGCCTTTGTGCCTTAATTTGATTCGTGACCGTGGGCTCGGGCCGCTACTTGTGTACGTAGCGTTCTGTAGTACCACGAGCACGCTTGCCTAATCTCGTGTCTCACATCATTCTTCTGCGTGAATGTGTGTATGTGTGTGTGTGTATGCTTGCGAATTTTATGCAAGCACCAAGGGAATTCGCTGTTTCAAATTCCATGGTACCGGTACGTGGCCCTTCTCAAGGCTTCTGCAGCTCACCATCTATGAATCGTATCGTTCTTATGATCTTGTATCATTTTGGAGAGACGAAAGCTGATCTCATAACAAGCTTGTTTGTCCCGTAGGACGGTCTGCGCCTTTCCTTCCTTGATACAGCGTCGTGTTTTCCCTAGAAGCACGTGTCATATTTGTCCGATTGCAGTAGTTTCTACCTGCTTCATCGCGCAGAATGGAAACATTGTGGGACGTGGCGTCCGGTCCCGAAATTGACAATCTGGAAGTCTTGGAGGTCCCAAACACGGCCGAACGCATGAATGCTTTGATGGAGGAGGGCGTGGGACGAGAAGAAGCCTTTCGCAAGGCTTCCAAGGAGTACAGAAGAGTTCGCGAGACGAACCAGAAGGTGCTGATGCCTGTTGGAAAGTCCCTGAAGGAGCTCAACCGCGGTGTTAAGCGCAGTACCGTGGTCAGCTATGCTGCTGCAGCGGGGCATCCAATAGGGTGGGGTTTCTTCTGGTGGCACCTCAATGAGAAATTTGACGCGGTGATGAAGATCTCCACAGCGACGGCCGAGGCGGTTAAGTTGGCTCAAGCAGGCAGCAGAATTTAGGTGAGTAACTCAATTGTGCGATGCTTTTCGAAGCCACGTCTTTTTTATAATCTCCGTTGTTTTTTCAGAGAAAGGATGGCATTTTCTACGTTTAACTGTTGGCAGAATTCCTCAATTTGACAGGTCTCCACTCATGTGCCTTAGAGAAACTCAACACTGAATGTAAATGCAAAGCTGAGGAAATCACATTTGCAGTGCTGCTTTGCTTGCCAGCCGCACTGGCTTTCCAACTGTATTCGATAATGGTGGTTTGATAGCTTATCACAGTACAGAAACTTGTAATGATTGACAACCGAAGAATGGCTACATGAGGTCCTGAGGGCTGCTTACAGTTCTGTATTTGCGAGACTGATGGTGGAAGCAGAAGACTTGGTGAAATGTGGTTGCTTCTCCCTTTTCTCCAAAGGCCCGTCAATTCAGAAGTACCTTGATTGTCCAATCTCATGTGTGGAGGACATTCCCCTACTTTTCCTCACTGCTACTTTCAGAATGCGGATTAAGGTCCGAAGTGTATTGTTGCAGCAAAGCGCTGGACACATAGATCGAGATAGAGTTCGATCTTAGCCCTTGTCATCTGTCCAGTATACAATCAGATGCAATGCAGAAGTATGGGTCCAGCACCTGAATCTGCAAGCTGCAGAAGCCTTTCTTTTTATGGAATGAAGGTCGATATGTAGGCGCATATTTAAGTTGAAACTTCTGTGTGAAGCAGGTTCATCGACTTTTGCAGATTGCTTGGCTGCCGATGATCAGAGAAGCATTTGCATTTTGCAATTTGTTGCTAAGATTTCAGTCGGCTCTGTCTATCTTGGAGTTTGCGGATCAGGAAGTAAGAGAGTGATCGTTGCGGTGGGGGTATTCACTCATCGCATAGTAGCGTGCCTGATATTTCACATTCTGTACGCTCAGGAAGCAGGCTGCATCTAATGATCTTGCATGCCCTCTTTCAGATATGAACATCAGCCATTTCCTTGGTATGCAGGAGCGGAAGCAGCACATCAAATTTGATTGATTGACTTTGGGAGTGGAGATTCAAGGGAGTTATAGAGAATAGTCAGAAGATACTCTTAGGGTCAGACACAGCCAGGCAGCAAACTTTGTGTATATGAGACATGGTCGTATAAGTATCTGGCCGAGTAGAGCGCGCAAATATGTGGATTGCAAATGCAGCCGGCATAAAACGTCCTATATCAGACATCAGTACGGACTGTAAATTGGACCTTGTTGAGTTTTGTTTTTGCGTGTTCGGTATTGAAGATGAGTGAAATTGTACCAAGCCGCATCTATTGAAGATCTGCAAGCTCAATTCGACCATCTACGGTACTTATTGCTGCCTTCCTGATTGAAAGAGAACATCATGAAGGCGTAAAGCCCAAGTACCTCTAAAACATCATCCAACAACGTCGCACGTGCATTGAGCATTTCCGTTGCATAAGACTCCAGACCGTATGTATACCTAATCATTATGCATGTAATGCGAAGCTGGTATGGTCAATTATCATGATTAATAGCTAACAAATGCACATGTGCTCCATGTGTCATTGATGTGGCAGCAGCTTAGTTGCACAGTCCTTTGCATGCATGGATGCGGGGCGCGCAATATCTATATATTCATGGCCATTGTATCATCATGCTAGGCTATCATATTCACATCACCTTGTTTCTATAGGCCTGGACCTTCAACAACCTTCGGAGTTCCTTCTAGTTGGTTGATGGGTACCCATACTGGCGCCTAGGCTATAGGCACAATGGTTTCATGATATGTAACCATGCGACCGTATGAGCTTCTCATTACATGAAGTTCATGGTCTTTTGGAAATACACGTTGTATACTATCTTGATTGCACTGCATGCGGGCCATTGGCTTCGATCTCAGAGTCGCGGCATCACTGCTCTCACTGTGCATTCTCTGTTGTTGTCATCCTTTACACTACTACCGTCGACCCTAGGTTAGACACGACCTCGTTGAATTGCTAGTATTTATAAGTGTCCAACAATTTGCCGAATGTTGAGTGTAGCTAGACGGAGCTAGCTAAGTTTAGGTGGTATGGTACCAGAGCTATCAACATGCAATCAAACAACTCTAGATGTAGAGTGCATGTTTGTTGATTTCGATTTCTCGAGGTGGTTGAGGCATTGAAAAAGCACATGTTCGGATGCCTCTCGAGCTATGCGAGATTTTCCTTGAAGATTATGGCGACATGTTGCGATGTAGAAGGGCAGAAATGATTCTCTAGCAGGCATGATTGCGAGTGCCCTGCACTGCAATCTTGATCCTTAAGCGTTCACGTGCGGAAAGACGCTTGAACGGCCAAACACCCGAGCATTGTGCGCGGCGTAAATGCTGAGTGAGGGATTGCTTGCAAGCAAGCCTGAGAACAAAACCTGACAGGGCATGAATTTGTACCTCCGGCTGAGATTCTTGAGGAAAAGTGCACGCAATTCCAGATGAAACCAATCAACCGACACTCCAAAGGCGGTCCGCATCCAAGGACAAATTGCTGATTTGTCCTCGTCTTACGTCCCGTACTTGTGCCTGTACAGCGGAGGCGGGAAACCGCTGACCACTTCCGCCCACGGCTTTTCCGCGACGAACAGCGAGTTAGGCCCCAGGTGGCCCACAAACAGACACGGATCCCTCATTGGCACAATCCTAGGTTTGCTAGCCCCCGCTTCTTTCTTACTTCGATCGCCGCTAATCCCGTTTGCCCTTTCGCTCACGCTGGTGCCTTTTTCTTTTCGTTTGCTCTTCTTCGTTTTGGTAGTGGGTGGCCCCTCCGGGACCGTGTTTTCTTCCGGGGGCGGAGTGGGCGTGAGGTTGATGTAGCTAAGGGCCCTGCAACCAGTTAGCAACCGTGCGTAAGCAATTGTACGCGAGCATTGTGAAGCGGTGCCGTCTTTGAATGATTGAACAAATCGTGGGACGCTCAGTGGAGATATACGCCGTTGTCGGTAACAAGGCTCATGGAACGACGGAGTGTGCTCTCAGAAAATGCTCAAAGCCCGCCCCCTGCCCCCGAAAGTTGTCACTTGCTTCTCGAGTTCTAATGCATCCTTACAGGTCGGTGTCACCGTCCCAACTAATATGGGTCCACTTCAGAAGCGCAGAGAAAACTCGAAGAATACAGCAACCCTTACAGCAAACAGCCCATGACGCAGAAAAAAGTAGCTGTGCAACCTCCCGAAAGCAGATTAACCAGCATCAACAGAGAGACTCCAAACGAGGCAACTATCCTACAATTGCCTTGAGCTCCACTCCTCTATCGTCTTTTATTCTCGATTACATCAAACTAGACTCAGTCCCTTCATATTGCTTCCGTTTCTTTGCAAACAAAACCTCTTCACCTCTGGAAACGACACTCACTTCGGTCCGTAAGCCACCAGCCCCAATGACTCCCCCGCCGGATCGGCAGACAGCCCGGTGATTCCCCCCGGGAACTCGAGCAGCTGCTGAAGCGAAGGCGCCCCTAGCCGGGCCCAGTCAATCGAGCTCTTGGCCCGCACGTCCACGGCGTGTAGCCGGTTACCCGCGGTCGCGACGAAAAGGTGGTTGGGAAGTCCTCGGTGGAAGGAGAGGGCGGTCGGGAGAAAGCCGTCGAGGGACGGGAGCGTCCAGTGGAGTCTGCAAATAGGGTTGGGGTATTAGACTAGTAGTTGGGGAATACCACCAAGGGTAAGGCCACAAGGGGGTGGGCTTGAAAGTAAGACCACCAGGGGGTGGGCGTGAAAGTAAGAAAGGAGGTTAGGAAAGGGGTCGGGCAAACATACGCAAAGGGGTCGGGAAAAGTCGAAGAGCAGCCGCGTCCAGTGGGGTCTGCCACAATGGGGGGGGTAAAGAGTGGTCGGAAAAGTCACAAGGGTGCGGGGGAACTTTCAAAGCCTTGTCGGAAAGCGGAAAATGAGAGTGGGGGTTGGGGAGGAGCCGTAACGCTTAGAGAATTCGGGCAAAGTGGAGAGGGTTAAAGGGGGATTCGCGAAGGGATGGACAGGGTATCCAAGGGTCTAGTATGCGTTTGCGCAATTTTGGCGTTAAACGGTCGACGGACGGCAAGCGTCCAGGAGAGTCCACGAAACGAGCGAACGGTGTGACATAAAAGAAGCGGAGGAGCTTTTTGAAAGAACGAAAGTGAGCCTCCGGCAAGGCGGGAAAGGCACTAGATGCTCAAAATCGGTAGCCGACCGAAGGGCTGAGGGGACCTTGTCATGTTGTGACAGAAGCCGACTCTCGGTGACCCGCCAGAGCTAGGAGAAAGTAGGTTTACAGGTACACGGAAGTTCAGCGAACCGCACATCAGTCGCTTTGGGGATAATCCCACCGCAGTAAGGTGCTCAAATACAGAGACCGATCCACAAACTCTTTTGTTGTAACGCAGAGAGCCGTGTCGAGCAGACTGTGCAGACTAGTACTCCGGTCTTCAGGATCAAAGTTTTTGGTGATTTTAGAAATCGGTTTTGCTTGCCCACGAGCCGTACAGCTCTCGCAGCTGAGAGGATCATCATCAGACCGGAGTTGCGTCAGGAGGTTCCTAATTTCAGAACAGGAAAACCTGTCGTTAAGATGCTCAACGATGAAAGCTTGACAAACAGAGCAAGCGCAGTCAACAGCAGCAGATATGAGACAATTCTGCACCGTGCGGGACACATGAGGGCCTATCAAAGACAGACCGCGTAGGAAAAAGGACTGGGAGGCAGTAGCGAGACACCATGGCATCACAATCTCTGGACCATTTCACGTTAGACAGAGCAGGCATCAGAAGGTGTTCCAAAACCGCCAGAACAATGAAGTTTTGGTAAGGTCTGAAGGCTGACGTGCCAACATACGCGAACGCCCCAGAAGGCTTATTGCAAATGAAAGCTGACAACACCTTTAAACATGGCGAGGGGTTAACCAACAGAAAGATGTTACAATAGAAGGGCAGTCTGGCTCGGGGCATCAGACGATGGGTGGTGATATGTAGACTTGTCATCAAGGCGCAAGCCAATCAGACGAACGAGACCAAATGGAGTCATCACCTGCCCCGAGCATGATCCTACGATCACTCTAACACTGAGCCCCAAAAAGTTTCAAATGGGCAACTTGAAATTGAAACCCCAAAAAACTCTGATTTCTCACTTCCAAACAAGCAGCTGGAGTAGTCTGAAGCGAGGAGAAAGGTAAAGCAGGTCAAATATTCGGTTCAGAGACGTCCTGAACTTCAATCTGCCCCATTATATATGGCTGTTGCACCGAACAGAGAATCAGGCAACCCAGATGCCTCGCTTAACACGAGCACTTCGCCGTTCGTCTCCCGCAGACAGCATCTTCTTTGGCGCACAATACGATCGCTGTTTGATCCACCAAGGCCCGTAGAGGCGTAATCGAAAGCGAGCCGTCGAAGAATCATAAGGGAGCCGTCTAATGATCAACAGGCAGCGGGCGCGGAAGTCGCGCGTCTTCATCAAAACCCGAAGATAAAAATCGAAGGCAGCCACGAAGAAAACTCGAACGGACTCACTTTAGCCGGTGAAGGTTGTAGACCCGGACTTGGCTTGCGCTATCTGCGACCGCCAGCCACTTGCCTCCGGGACAGGCCGCCATAAGAATGACTGGAGAATGAGAATCGGTCACCCCCCGCTGGTCTGCTTTCGAAGAGAGGCGAACCGACTCTACAGTCTCAGTCGCCCAGTCGTAGACCTGCGGGTGCAGAAGCATCTGATCAGCAATCAGACGCTAATAGAAACAACCTCTTGGGTGCATCTTTTGCTTGAAAAGGAACGCCGTCCACGACAGGGAAAAGACCGGGTCTTGAAGCCTGATCCCTAAGACCGACTTAAGGTACTTAAACCATTTTCGAAGAAGGATTAAGACAGCTGCTAGTCGCACCCGCACCTTTGACCAGCGACATCGTGACCAAACAGGAGCCCGCTCGAGGCAACAGCAACAAACTTGATCCAGGTCGACAGCCTTGGTTGTCCAAACCGAGAAGGAGATGCGATTCTCCTTCCAAACTTGCAAAAAATGCAGAATGATCACACACAACGCTCAACGAGGGCTCACATAAAATGCAACCAAGTCGTAAGGTAGCAAAGTCACTCACCATAAGCTCGCCCGTTCGTGCTGCTATGATCAATCTTTTCGAATCTCCCGAAAACACCACCTGCTGCGCGGCCGGAACGCTTTCCAGCAGTTTTACCCGCGTAACTTTTACCCCAGCGCCGTCCCCCTTTCCCAGCTCAAACAGCCGCACGCTCGACGAATCCGAGCACGCCACGTGGCTCCCATCTGGCGCAATTGCAGCGCATGATATGTGCTCGCCCCCGCTCTTTTTGATTCGGGCTATCAAAGCCGGGGGCTTGCCTTCCTGGAGGGGTGCTGCGGCTACTGCTTCTGCCCCCCCAAAGCGTGTTAGGTTCTTCACTGTTGCCTCGCCCCTAGCGCCCGTAAACGAAGCCCCTGGACCAGTCCAGGCGGCTTCTGCCCACCCCTCTAGTTTCCTCCTCTTCGCTTTCCGACCCTCCTTTCCGCCATTCCCCTCGCTTTTCTCCTTGCCGACGTCGTCGCTCCCATGGCTGACGTCAGCGATCTCTCTCGCCTCGTCAGCGTCCCCGTTTTCGAGCCGAGCGCCGCTGGCCGAGGCCGCCCTTTCGCCCGCATCGAGCTGCCAGACGTCTAACCACGTGGCATGCTGACTTAGCAAGAGGGATCCCCCGGATCCGGCATTTTCCTGTGGTGGTGTGAGATGGAATTGCGGCGCTTGCGGGAGGGGGGAGAAGCAGAACGGGTGGAACGCCATGAAGAAGGTGGCGGGGTATGTGAAGAGCAGAGCGTCATTGCCCCCCGAAACGAGCATCGGAGAGCCGAGCGCGAGGGAGAGGGAGTCGCCCCCAGTCAGACGGCCCTTCTTTCGCTTCCTGAGGTGGAGACAAGAACGGTGAGATTGAGAAAGATATCAGGAGAGTTGCAATCTTTACCAAGGGCTGTTTCGAACAAGCAGACAGGACCTCACGTTGTCTCCTAGTACTCCTTTTCAACGTCGCAAAAACAGGAAAGGCAGTATCGAAGAAGTAATGCACCTGATAACAAAGAAACGTCTCTGCTCGACCTTCCAAAACATTGAGGTCTTGTCTTTCTGGTATATTGAGGTCTTGACCAGAGCCGACCCCAGAGGAGGACAGACTACGAAGAGCACGGTTTTTAGCGTCCTACAGTTGCAACTGAAGACCGTTACCTGTGTTGAGTGCCGGAAGCTTCGGCATCTTCTGACAGAGGCCGGGGCTGTGCGATTGTGAGTGCCCGCACATCGTGTGTATGAGAGCGGCGGCTCCCCACATGGACCCACCGCTCGCCCGCAGAAGCACCGACGGGCGTCCGACCTGTTAAAAAGGAATGGGGCCTAATCGGAGGACCGAACCGACGGGATCGGTGGAAGAAATTTATTTGGCAGGGAGTTGCTGCGGCAGTCTTCTTTTTACGCAGATGTGATTTGTTGTCCAAGGAAAACACCACTACTATCGACCCCAATCTAGCAAGCGCACAAGTCTCTGCAAGACCACCTCCACTTTGCAGAGGCAAAAAGGCAAAGATAAGCACTCTGAAGGAAGCTCAGACAACTGTTGCCAAGTAGCATGCCAGGTAGACACAAAGTCTACCTTTCTTTCTGCTTAAGCTGACAATTGGACTCCAGCATTCAGTGTAACTCGTACCTGTGGTTTCGACTTTCCCAGTGACGACAGCCTCGCTTGCTCTCTGATACATTGTAATCTGCCCGTCGATCCCCGCAGCAAACACCACGTCTTGCTGGGGGGGTGAAGCCAGGGCCAAGACGTCCCCCTGGTTGCGCTTCTGCGCCTGCAGGAGCGTCCCCACTTCTCCATCCCAGAACTGAGTCGAGCCGCTGCTGTCTCCGCTGACCAGGGTTCCATCCCTGGTTGAAAGAAAAATCAGAGGATTTTCAAAATTATTGCCAGGTCTGGTAACTTGAGCTTGGAAGCGAGGTGGTTGGCAGGGCAGTTTCAACCTGGTGTTCATTGACTTGTGGTTTGCGAGTCTCTCTCTTCTGATTTCTATATATCAAAAGTCGCTCTTCCCAGACCCTTCGTGTTTTCCTAAACCATCGATCTGTTCCACCATCCATTTCTTCCGACCGAACTTCAGAAAGTCGGAGCACTCAAAGCTTATGTCAGCTTATGTCACGTGCTCTTGCTATTTTCGAAATCAACAACTGCAAGAGCACCTTCAGACTCGGAGTTACAGAGAGATACTCATTTCACGAGAGGAATGCAACAGTCTACTGATAACTCTACTGACATCACGATTGCGGGATGCAACCTAAGACACACGGTTCAAATGCGCCTTTCCGCCCACATTCGCTAGGTTTGATGTGCCAGAACAACATTCCTTCCCTCTTGACATCCATCACGCCTCTACAACTCAAACCATTCGTCATCTCACCACATGCATGCAATCAGTGCAGATGCAACTCATCACAACCTACTTCTGCTAAAGTTCGACCACTGGCTTTTGTGAACTTTGTTCGTGCTCACCTCAGAGATAGAAGGGCCCACACACACAGCTCATCCTGTTTCTTCTGGCCCCCAATTCCCGCCGTTATTCGAACCAGCTCGCGTGAGGTGGCCACATCCCAAGCGCGAATACACCCATCAGACCCCCCTGAAAAAAGCTGTCCAGCGCGCTGCCCCCATGCAACTGACAAAATCCTGCCTGCAATGAAGGGAACAAGGGGAAATGTCGGAACAGCAATTTGGACGACTAACTTTAGCTCCGTGTGTCTTCGTGCTGACTTTTGATAGGCAGCGCGAAGACTATCTCTTATTGGATGCTTCCCTGTGATTTGAGCTGCAATCACCACCAAGTAGCAAGTCAGAAGACAGGTATCAGACCGTTGAAACCAACTCGGAACCAGAAGCCGACGGAGCAAACGGATGTGCTGCGTTGTCTTCCCGGTGCCAATAACACAAGAAGCGGCACAAAGGATGAAGAGCTACGCCCGATGTCTTCAAACAGAAACTCTCCTCTCCCCAGGTTAAATTTTTCTCGCCTTGTCCCCAAACTGTCCAACATACCTTCTTTTCTGAAAGACATCCCACAACTTGTGAAGCACAAAGCACACCCCACAACTTGTGAGGCACAAAGCACACCAAAGCGCCGCCTCCTTTCTGTCGTGCGCACATGCGAACAAAGCCCCCACTTCGTAAATCGCACCCCCTCACCTTCTACCCGCGGCATTGCCTTCGCATATTGCAACTCCCCGCTGACATCATCCACCGCAAACAGCCTGGCGCTCCCATCGTCACACGCCACAGCCACTCTCTGGGGCTGCCTCTCAGGGGCCCCTTCGCTGAGGTCGTCATCATCCTCCTCCTCACTTTCACTGTCGCTCTCGTCGGAAGCGTCCCAAGGCTTGGTCTTCAAGGAGGCCCTGTTTTTGGGGGGTTGGTTGGGGGATGCTGGGGAGTCGGCAGCCGGCTCGACGGCAAGGGCCCAGACAGGGCCTCCGTATGAGTCCAGTGTTGCCTGTCAGGAAGTCACAGATAGATTCATGTATTGACAGTGCAAAGCTCTTTTGCTTCAAGGACTCTTACATTGACACTGATCAATAGCTGCTTTCTCTTGCAACAATCTCCTGACCGTTTGCGGAGGTATTGTAAGCACCACTCAAGGTCTCCTGCCTTCAAGCAAGCACAGGATGAAGATGGTCAATGTTGATGGTAGGTTCTATATCAATCTCCGACCTGTTTTGCTCTCTAAATTTGACATTAAGAAAGCTGCCGGGATTGAAAGGGTGGTGCAGTGGTGTACACCACATGTGTCCACTTTGGGAGCCAGTCTTGACCTGCAGCTGCCCAAAAGCCCAACCACCCACTCCACCAGGATTGGTGGCAGGAAACACAGCACCAAGCTTACAGTGTGGTTGGCATCCAAGCAGCATTGTAGGTGGCTGCAAATCTATCTGCCAGCTGGAAAAAGCAATCGATCATGAACCACAACATACCTGGTTCCAAAACTGCATCCAGAAGCCAATGTTTTTCTTCCAAGACCTGCTTTCTCCCGCATTCTTCTTCGGAGTATTGCGGTCGCAGGGAAAAGCGCAAGCAACATGCAAAAGCGCACCTTTTGCTTCAATGTGCTGAGGTCCCATTCTGTGATCCTCCCGTGCAGTCCCGCCGAGAACAGGCGGCCCCTTGTATGGCCACCATTGTCCCTCAACCACGCTAGCGAAGTGATGCTGGCCCCATTCACCCCTGGAATGGTCTGCAGCACAAACCACCATTTGACCGAATTAAGGAACCTTCTTTTGAACGCTCCTCAGAGGATTGCACATGAGCGAAGCAATCAATGCATTTTGTTCCCTGATAGACTGCGGTGGTGTAAGCACACTCAAAGGTGATGCGTGCTGACATCTGAAATGCACAAGCTGCAACACGACTTCCTCAAACAGGAAACTCAAAGTTGAGAACTTTTGAACAGATCCTCAAGGTTGAAAGGGAGAAAATCTAAAACTTATTGCAATCTGGCTTGTCCACATCAGCGCCAGGTTAGCAAAGTGCACCTTCCATGCCCTGCACAAAGATGTAGCAACTTGCAAAAGAACAACTTAGAAAACCTCAGATGTTGAGCAAATGCATATATCGGGAGCGTACCAGTTCGCACTGCCACCCAAGGGCCCCGGCTGCCGCCCTCCAAATCTCAATGTCCCCGCTTTCTCTCGCCGCAGCCACGTATGCTCCATCAGGGCTCGGAGTAAGGGCTACTACCGGCGTAGGAGACCAGTCAAAGAGCCGGCAGCGATGGAGGGCGAGCATAGGCGATAACGGTGTTGCTCGAAAGCTAGGCTGCGAAGTGGTCTTATGGCAGGAGTGGGTGTTAGGAAGAGGTGGTGTTTCAGTCTTTTGAGCTGGGAGTAAGGACGATTGATGCGGCGAGGAATGCGGTTGTGAAGCAGTTGCAAAAGGTGACTGCTGGTCCCCAATGTGGTGCTGGGTGGTTCCAACTATTACAGTACGCTCGGTAACGACCTGGCGCAACTCACGGTGCTCCTCAGACCCAGGAACAGAGCTCCGATGCAAACCCTCCAATCCAAGTGACAGAGTCCGATTCTGCGGGAGGAAAAGCTCAACAACAGCCGGTGAATCGCTGTCGGAAGAAGTGGTCAATTCCTGCAAACTGGACGCTGTCAGACGCCTTCCTAAATGTACGTTGGCTGCTTGACCCTGACGTCCCGGCATGACACCTTGGAAGAGCAGCTGGAGCGTGCTTTCCTGAAAGAATGAGGCGCGAAACAACTTTAAGTTTTAGAGACGCCCTTGCAAGCTGTGCACCAGCGCGACCTACGAAACGCTGTTCAAAGAGACGAGATCGACTCAGTCAGAGGAATGCTGTCCCTGCGTGGAACACCATGCAGCAAACGGTAATGGTCGAGTAGTGTTTCTTGCACTTATCAAGATTAGGGTTTGACCATTACCAGAGAGATCGGATGCCAAATTAACGCTGAGCACAGAGTGAGGATGCACAGAGCTCTGACAAAGTATGCGAGGAGTACTGGTGCGTTGCATGGACTCCGCCCATGCGCTTTTAACTGTCGCCATTCTCTGATGGTAGCAACCTAGACATTGAATCAGGAAGCATCTCTAGAGCGTTCTTTGCCCCACAATTGGGCGGCAGGTATGCACTGTTTGCTGTTAAATGTCTTTTGAGAACAGTATCATTGGGCGCACTTTTTGGCCTGCTCAAAATGACGGCTTTAGCGGCTATCCGTTTCAGCAACCGTTTCAGCATCCAAGACCAGTGCACCATGTTGCACAGCCGGTGCGAGCTGGTAGGAGCTCCGTCACAAAGTTTTTCTAGCCATCATCTTAATCCCATTGGTCAATTCAGTCATAGCGCCTTACGCAATGCTGCCAGGAGGTGTCCAAGCACATGGCATGGCCGAAGCACTCTCCTCGTCTCCCAGGCACCCGACTTCTTGACGGGGGGGGCCCTTGCACTAAGAAAGGGCAGCAACATTCGCATCAGCAGCGTTGGTGCAAGCGATGGGAGGAGTGGTCGCGTTGGAAAGCGGACGGTGTCTGCAGAAGCAGGCAGTCCAATGGGACCGGGAGCATCAGCAGGCGGCGATGTGAACGGGCCCGGCAGTGTGAATGGGGCCAGCAGCTCTAGCAGTGGTGGTGGTGTGAACAGGGACAGCGGTGCGAATGCGAACAGTGGTGTAAATGGGGCCGGCGGCGGTGGTGGAACCGGTGGTGTGAATGGGGGCCCTGGTGTGAACAGGCGGAGCGGTGTGAACGGGGCTAGGGGCGGTGGTGTGAACGGGGCCAGGGTCGATGACACGGGGTTTGTCAATTGGGTGAGGAAGGAGTTCAACGTCACGCGGGAGGCGCTCCGCATCAGCCGGAACAAGAAGGCGGACGCGGTCGTCGAGAAGGAACGCGAGACGAGCAACGGCGCGGCGACCACGAGCGGGCGGGAAAAGTTCGTGGACAGCGTGTTCGGGGACGAGGATGACTGGACGGAGGAGATGGAGGAGGCGTGGCGGTTCGAGGCGCGGGGGTTCGACGAACAAGATTTAAAGATCCGGGATCCGGGGAAAGAGGGGGGCCCGCTCATCTTCGACTTGCCGCGGGAGGACGGGAAAATACAAGCGGACCGTACGGCGGATATTTGGAACATAGAAGACTGGCGGGAACCGCGGAAGATCAAGCAGGGGAGCTGGGACGTGTATGACGTCATGAAGGAGCAAGCGGAGACGGAAGAAACGGAAGGGCCGAAATCGAAAGAGGCGGCCGTGGCCGAATACCTCGAACTGTTACAGAGGCGGAAGCGACGGGAGCTGTACAAGGACTACGAGCCGGCCGAAGAGACCGAACGGCTGCAGCTTCCGGTTGGGGAGTATAAGGGCCCGGACACGTTCCGGGAGTCGTTTGACGAGGTGGGCGAACCGCTGGAAAACCCGTTCCAAGAGGTGTATGCGCTGATGCACGCGTTCAGCGTGGAGATGCCATTCCCGCTGAGGACTCTAGTGGACGAGCGCGTGCTAAACTACGGGACGTACTTTTGGTGAGGTTCACGGTTTTGACGTTTCGCGGGCCCTTTCTTTCAGTACTGTTTGTCTCGTTGAGTTTTTGGAACTGAGCTCTTCATTACCTGACTCTTGGCGGATTTGACTCCCGATTCTTGCCAGCACTCCTTTAAACACAGGTTGGCTTGTCAAGCCGAAACCAGGCTTCAAGTTGACCGTTGAATGGCAAACATGTCTCTTCGAAGCAACCTACAAAGTGGGGTCGAAGACAACGGATCGGTAGTTTTACCTGGATTGAGCAGACTGTTGGTCACATAATCTGGACTCGTACTGGTCGATAGTATCAAGCGGTCTAGATCTTGTAGGCCCTAGTGAATTTCCATTGGGGGCCGACTTTGCAGCTGGCCAATTGGCATTTCATAGTGGCGACATCACGAGTGCTTCCGCCTAGGTTCAAATACACTGTCCTACTCTGATGAAAAACAAGCCTGCCATTTGACTCTGACGTTCTTGTCATTTTCATCAGTCCTGGTGCATAAGTCGTCTGTTTGCCCTGGTTGTGGGAGAGGCTACCGTCATACTTTACTAGCAGGACCTCCTTTTCTACTGTACCCTTTGGAAGGGCTTTCAAGAGGACGAGTTGCATAAACTCAGCAGACCACGTTTCAATCTCATGGGGCTATATACACTCCGCTACATCTCCCTTAACGAATGCAATCCTTTTCAGATGCATCGAGGACGCTTGTTTGCTTATTGCAACTGTGGCTCCTTCCTACACTGCCGTCTCTTCTCTGATGAACCTTCTGGGACTTCCAGCGCAACTGTAGCTCCTGTTTAGCTGTCGGCTCTCCCTAATGAACCTTCGGAGGTTTCATGCCTCACGCCTGAAGTTTGACCCGATGCAGGACGAAATTCCTGGAGATCAATGCGGACGAGCGGATCAAGTTCCTCGACTGGATCGACCACAGGTGAGCTGTCCTTCACACTGACTGCTTTGTCTAATAAATCTCGCAGACGCTCAACAGATAAAGAATGCCAACTATGAATCTCGTTCAATACAGGGGCGGTATGCATAACAACAAAAAGTGCTAGTATCTCCAATCCCTAGACTTGATTGATCCAAACTCATATTTCGGAAAAGTCCAAATAGTTTCTTGCCAGACCCCTTCTTGGTGGAGGGTCCTATAGCGTTGAGTGGACTGCAAGAGCATCTCTTCGTTTCTCAAGGGCACCGACGCTTTATTTGGATGCTGACGCGAAGCAATACAGCTGTTTGGGTGAACCTGCAACGTTCGCGCGAGATCGAAACCTGCTTTTGCATGAGCTTGGACCTTTCGATTGATCTCTACTGGCAATCGTGCGGTCCAAGATTGCGTAGTCGACAAATCTGCGGGCCTGTGCAGTGCTCCAGCAACATCGGTTTGCGGCATATTAATCCGCTTCAAATACTGCGAACCTGTTGACACCTCAACCGAAACTCTCACCATATTCGACTCCAGCTCTCATTCTGATTCTCATTCCAATCCTCAACCTCAAGCCTAACCCTCAGCCTAATCCTGACCCCAATTCACAGGCACACATGGCTGTGCTTTGGGGCTTGGGCGAGCAGCGCTACAGAAATCTCGGGACGCGCATGTGCATACACTCCAGAAGCAGCAAACTCTAGCAACACTTTTCCAGAACCTCGAAATCTTTGCAACCCAGTTCTCAATACACCCCCTAACCTTAACCGTGATCCACAGGCACATGGAATGGCTCTGGCGCCTCGGCGAGCAGCGCTACAGCAACATCGGGACGAGAATGTATACGCACGCGGCGAAGTTACTGCCCGTGCGCGGAGTCACCAAGGTTTTTCGGCCGCAAGTCTGGATCGGCAAGGTCGACGGAGGTGCGTTAAACGCGTCCCCCTTCGTGTCGGTGTTGATGGCTAGGAAGGTTAAGGGGTTTGCTGGGAACGGGTTGAGGGAGGGTGGAGTGCAATGAAGGGTTAAGTCAGTATTATAGTGTACGATCGGCGTCCCTTTGTTCTCTGAGCCCATCTCAAGGTCAGCAGAGGCGCGCAAAAACGGGTTCGCATGGGCTTGACACAAATAGAGTGCAATGCGTAGGTGTAGGATTGGGGTCGTTTTTACGAGGCATGTGTGCGGAAAGGGTTGTGAAACGAGCGTCGGGTTTGTAAGGTCCACGAAGGTGCGCACAGACCGGGTTCCAATAACCGCTCTGAGTTGATCGTCGGGTTTGCTGATACAATTCGTTGAAGTTTCCTGAGTAAACGTCTCTGGAAGGGCTTCTCTGCAACGTTATTTGCCGCGCCTTACAACCATCGGCCTTGTCTCTCCTCGTGTTTGGGTTGCTGCGCTGTTGGGACGCATTTCGGTGCGCCGCACCTAGGTTTTCTTGAATTCAGAACCCGTCCATCCTACTGCATTCACTATCCTTCCCTTGTCTCTCAATTGCAGCTCCTCCCTTCTTCGGGGACTTCCATCGGGTAAGTCGCACCAGTTCTTATGATCTTAACACACCGATTGTGACTCGAGCGATTGTATGCACCGCTCCGCTGATGAACGCTGCTGATGGCTGCGTCGCTCTTCGGCCGTCCCAATGGCGTCAGCAAATGTTGACGCGTATGGGCCTCTGCAGTTTGCCTGGAAACAGTTTGAAACTCAGGTGTCTGGAAAGAAACGCGTGTTGTCATACGCATGTATCGGTAGATTCAGCTTCTCTTCTGCTGATGTTTCGTGGCTGGTTCCAGTCTTCAAATTGTGCTTCCCATCCAGCCGTGTTGGGATGCAAGAACGGGCGACCTCTTCCGCGTCTGCAGGTGATATGGGTCGCCCCCGACTCGAACATGTACGGAAGGACTGTACTGTGTGAGTAATTTCTGTTCGCTTGTGCTGTCGAGCACTCAAAACTACGAGTGCGGGATAAAGACTTCAACATTTCTGAAAGGAGGTTCCCCGATCGTTTTTAAGTAGTTTTTCTTCACTACGCCTGGCTGACTGCGCAGACCCCCAATCGGGTGATTCTCTTGCGCACACTTCTGTGCGCTGTCTTCCGCTTGTTCAAACACATTTCCGTCCGCGTCATCTTTTGAATTGATACCTTAATACCTGCAACGGGTTACAGCCATAGCTGGCTGCGGAGCCCTAGAACAACTCGCTCTCCCTTCACGCTTTGAGCCAACCGCGTCCCTCTTATTTTCCGCCTCCTATAAGGTACTCAGTAGCCTCTTATAAGCTATCCATCGTCGTTGAAGCTTTTTCTGGCAAAATGGTTCCTTTTCTGACCCGTTCGCGCTCTTTGCTCAGAGCCAAACCGTAAGAGCTGGCTGCGCCATTTCATCGACGAATCAATGCCGCTTTCCAAAAAAGCCCTCACCACTGCAACCCTGTCGCTATGAGCTTTCAAAGTGTTTTCTGACCCCTTTTGGCTATTTTCGCAGTACCCAACCGCAAGGGCTGGCTGCGCCGTTTTATCGACGAGACGTTCCCGCTTTGCACGCTCCCAAAATAACCATCTTCGGCCCAGATAAGCTATCTGACTGCTTCACATAAGCTATCCAACTCCTACAAATCTTTGCTCCTTGCGCAGTGCCAAATCGTAAGGGCTGGCTGCGCCGTTTCATCGACGAGACGTTCCCGCTCTACTTCCGGGTGAAGCAGACGAACCTGGTCGTCGCAACGGAGCGTCCGTGCGACATGGTCATCGAGTACGTCACAGACATGTCCGAACTAGACGGGAACATTCCGCCGGAGTACCCCAAGCCAGGTGCGGATTTGCAAATTTCCCGTCTGCAGATTCTGTTTTCTGTTATTTGCGGTTTGCGGTTTGGGGTTTGCGGGTTGCGGGTTTTGGGTCTGCTTGCCTTGGCTTTCGCTTCGCCTGGGTGAAGGAATAGTTTTGCGCGAACATCGTTCTGGCGTCTGCATACGCCTCATTCCACCAGCATATTCTTCTGATCGTGACCCAGGTTGCCACAAGCCAGGTGCGCGCTTCGCTTTCCGCTTAGTTTCCCCCTTTTTAGTTTGGTCATCGCTTTTTTGTGATGTACCTCGTCCCTGACTCGTGGGTGGATCCGCTTTTCCACTTCGCGACTGGAGATTACTGCCGCAACTGATGCTTTCAACTCCAGCCTAGAAGTTTACCTCAAACTTTAGACCTTAAGCACATGATCGAACTCAAAACCTCAGAACTTCCCACATCTAATTGCCGAAATCCCCTTGTTTGCAGTCCCGCCGCCGCACCCGTTCAACGACGCGATGAAAGAGTACATGCGGCCGCTCGGCCCGGGGCTGATGGTGTGCGAAGCGTGGCATGAGGGCGTCTCGCCGGAGGCGACGCCTAAACCGTTTCTAAAGACCTCGGTTATGGCGCGTGTGGGGCCCGGCACAGTCAAGGCCTTCTAGAAATCCTTGGCTTAGTGACAAATCAAGGCCACGTACGCAATTCCAGCACCAAGGCACAGCGCGGACGATACGGTCGGATGACTCAACATACCCGGTGGTGTTCATTCGTTTGCATGCGGAGTTTGCGACTCAAAAAGTCGTTATGTGCGGCTGGCAACCCTGGATGCTGAGTGACCGCAGGTTTTTCTGTCTGTGGAGCAGACGCTGATTGACCGTGGAATCTGTGGACTCTGCGCTGACTGAAACTGAGCTTCGATCAAACTCCATCAGCAGCTCTCTCTTTGATTCCTGTTGGATGATTGTTGCCGGCAGAGCGGCACGACGTTTTGCTGACATAGATGCTCGACATCAGTGAATGACGGACTCGTCAAGCCTTTCATCATGTTGCATGTACAAGGAGCATTGGATTATTCTGCATGCGTCGCAATTTATTTTCTTCAGCGATGCTTTCAGATGCTGCATGATGCGTTCCCAGTCACGTACTAAATAATGCGCGGAGCCCTCTTGGGGTAAAACGTTCATGTGACTAACGTGAGCACTGTTGCGCACACGGTCATGGGTAAGTCTGCAAGAATAAAGTGCGGCAGTCGCCGCGCGATGGTACCCCGTCCGGGATACCCGGGCAGGTGCACCGCCTGCCCATGTATGAGACAAGCCGCATGTCCGACAAACCTCATAGTCGAGGCTTGTCTATTGGCCCTATGGGGATTGCGCTTTTATAGAGAGACAGCGAGTAAAGAAAAGAAGCGGGGACAATCAGATGTTTCAAGTGTAAGGTTGCGACATCAATCTCAGCCACAGTGTATGTGAGCAGATTGACCAACATGGATCCAAGTCAGCTCGTACCAAAAAGGCGACTTGGACGATTGCGGGCACTACTACAGACACACTAGGATAAAGTACACTACATTGCTAGTGCGAAGCTTCGCTTTGATTACCTAACCCAACAGAAGCTATCTCCTACATTTCTCGACAACTACTACCATAATCTAGATGGACAGCGTGCGCTACCGATCCTGGTCTGATACTGTACCCTTCTTTAACAACTCCGATTCCAGTACCCCAACGCGTATGCTTGATGCACCTATGCAATGACCTTCCCGTTGCCGCCGTTTAGCAACACCGTCTCGTACTCCCTCGATGAAGCCGGTGCTGCTGTTGAGAACGAAGCCTCGACGTCCTCAATACCACCCATGCACTCCGGCGTGTATGCGGCAGCGACCTCGCTTACAGTGGGCTCCTCGCTCACTTCCTGCTCAGAGGCGAAGTCCTGATGTCAATCTGACACGTTTCGCGAAATCGAAAATACAGCTCACTTCAGGTCGAAGCGCGTTTCCAAGTCGAAACAAATGAAGAATTGGCGCCCAGCTTTCGCAAAGAGAGCCAGGTCATCATTGAGATGCTGCCCTTCTACTGAACATTTTCGGACCCTGTGTTCTCATGCGTTCGAGCTACCAAACAACCAACGAAACGTGGGTTGAAGACACTGCGGTGAGACCAAGCTCAGCGGGACGTGTTAGAAATTCTGCAGTGGCGCCTTTGCGGGAGCCCATCTAGACTGCTACTCTACTGGGCCTCAGCGCCCCTCAGCGTGGATTACGACTGGACAGCGCGTAGGAAATGGCTCTTTGATGCTTCTCTTCCCAAAACCTCAAAACCCAGAACATTCAAGCCGGAGCTATGATTCTCAAAAACGTCGTGCCAGAACCGGCAATGATCTGCAAACCCTCCAGCATCCCGAAAACCCGTTCCATAACTCAAACCCCCTAACAAGTTGGACCGAGCTGCCGCCGCTGACCTGCATCGGCAATAACCTGCAGATGCCCCAGCATCTCAACAACTCCTCCGTTACCCAACCCCCCAAAGACGTCGGAGAACCAGCTGACCTGAATTGCGACCTCGATGGGCGTCGCCGTGAATCGCGTCTCGAGGCACTTCTTGGTGAACAGGTGGAACACCACGGTTAGCACGGGTAACGGGATCATAACCGGCGTGTATGTGAACTTCATGATCCCCATGTAACCCAGCAACGTCAGCTGCGCGATGAAAAGCGACGCCACGAAGCGCTTGTGGATGTGGGGGTACATGCGGCCGCCGGACTCGTACTCGGGGACTATCACATTCAGCGCCTGCAGGTTGATATATGGGTTAAGACTCTGACATGGATAACAGAATGGTCACGAAACCGTTAAGAGCTGGGTTTCGAGCCCGTTAAGAACTGGGTTTCCAGCGGGTTTTTGGATGTGGGGGTGCAGCCGGCCGCCGGATTCATACTCGGGAATCACCTCCGGCGCCTGCGGATTGACATGTGGGTTAAGCCCCTGATGCTAATAACAGAGTGGTCATGAAGCCGTTAAGAGAATGATATCGAGCGAAATGCTTGGATGTTGTAACTTACGCCCGCCGCTCTGGTACTCAAGACCCATTACCTCCAGCGCCTAGTGGTTAACATGTGGGTCAAGAATGTAATATGCGATGTTTGACGAAGTGATTACGAAGCCGTTAAGAATCCAGTTTCCTGCGGGTATTTGGATTTGGGGGTACATGCGCCCGCCGCTCTCGTACTCCGGAACCATCACCTCCGGCGCCTACGGGTTTGTAAGTGGTTAAGACTCTGATGCTGAGGCGTTTGATGAAGTGGTTACGAAGCCGTTGAAAGTTGGGGTAAGAGTTGGGTTTTGAGCCAATACTTGGATGCGGGGTTACATGCGGCCGCTTGGCAACCTTTACTTCCAACGCCTACGGGGTGAAATGTGGGTTACATATCTAATGTGTTGATCTTTAACGAACTGGTTAAGAAGCTGTCGGGAAATGAATTTAGAGCGGATAATCCAGAATTCAACGGCGTCGTCCCTGGTAACCAAAAAGTCCAATTCGGCGCTGCGCCTGCAGGTTGAGGTGGGGTTTTGAAAGTGGGTTCCGAACGGGGTTAAAGAGGGGCCTGAAGGGGTGTCTGTAAACTGAGCAGGAACTTTGCAACTTTGCACGGGAAACGTGCTGGGAGCATGTGAGTTGAGACAATCCCCAGGAAAGAAAAGAGTGAATTTGCAATGAAAATCGATCCAAGATCATTCGAAGTTTGAACAAGAGTTTCGGACGAGATCCTGCATAGTAGGGACGGTGATATGGTCGGGTTGGCCGCAGTTGAAAGAACTGCTGAGCGCAGGGGCCAAGAACATTTGCAGGTCGAAGATCCGGCCGGGTTTCGGACCGTTAACCCGAATCGATTCAGGGTTCCAGAAAGAAGGACGACATCTGTCCTATCCGAGGACGGCCTGACAGATCATCAGACCGCGTAGAACGGAAGACTTGTTATGATGAACCAGTACTCACCTGGTTCTTGTTGATGATGTACCTGAGACCAAAGTAGACGATGCAGAAGGGGATGATGATCATTCTGGGCTTCAGGAAGAAGGACGAGGGCAATCCTAGCCATGAATGGCCGGGCAAATCGTCAGATCGCGTGAATTTTCCGATGACCCAGAACTCACCTGGTTCTTGTTGATGATGTACCCGAGACCAAAGTAGACGATGCAGAAGGGGATGATGATCGGCGAAATGACCGCGTAGCACCTGCACAAGCGAACGCAGGAGTGAGAGAAGGAAGAAGAAGAAAGAAAAAAGAAAAGTGCATGCAGGCAAAAGAGAAATAAGACGGCTTGCCCCGAACAAAACGAGTTCGGTCGGGCGGTCAGAATTGATCGGCGCGTGTGTCGCGGCCGCAAATGAAAGAGCTCAAGTCAACGTACGGACTCGGGTTCTACGACCGGAGGAGAGGGGCGGGAGACGTTGAAAAGGGGTTAGCGGTGGATTTGGCCGTTGGTTTTAATTTCATCAGAATCTGCGTGGCGAATGTTCGCCCAACACGAGCGGTTGTCACGCAACGAGAAAAACACACCAGCTTCCGTCTCAAGCGTGACGTGGCTTCACGCTCGTGTTGCATGGGCGAACTTCGGCATGCAGACTTGTTGTTAACAAAACCCAATGGCCCAGCGCTAACCTTGTTTGGACGTCTCCTCCGGTTGCAGAATCCGAAGCCAGGACAGAAGCGTGATAGTAAAATGAGAATGTCGTCTCACGTCCGATCAAGAGCGCATCTCCAGAAAACTAGCGCCCCTTACTCAAGCATACATGACAACACTTTTCGGTCCCCTCCTCCGTCGACTTCCCAAACCACCGACCCCCAAAGCGGACTCCATCATGATGAGAGCCAACTCGAATCAGGCTCGCCGAGACAAAAGTGGTCTCCTAAAAAGCTGGAAGGAGAAGTGCCCGGGACTCACAGGCCGAGGAGCACGATGAGCAGGTCTTTGGGCACGTTCTTTCCGTAGAAGAAGCTCCCGGGCGCCCACGCCTCCCGCTTGTCCTCCTCGGTCTTAACCGTGAACTTGAGCTTAACCAGGTAGATAACCACCCGGATCAGCTGGGAGAGCGCCAGGCCGTAGCCGATAAACCCGCGGAGGGCGATGTAGGTGATGAAGAAGGTCGCTTGCTGCGGAATGGAGGACCCGAGGAGGTCCACGATGCCGGTCGGGTTTGTGGTCATCTGCAGGGAAGGTTTTGGAGGGTGGTTTAGGAAAATGGTTAGCCTCTGACTATCAGGGCTTGAATCGGTAGGTGGTTTGATTTCCCAGGCATTATGGAGGTCGGCAACTGTCACAAAAGAGCTACGCATAACCGTCCAGATTTTTGTCTCCTTGGGGAGAAGTTCTTCAGGTTCGGGGGCGGTGTGAATCCCGGTTGCTCAAACCCATCGGCTTCGGAGGGCTTCAGCTCAAAATTTGCCTTGACGCTTTTCGTTTGAGGCGATCCCGAGTTTTCTGGCTGCAGGCGCGGTAAGCCTCCGCCGGCGTCAAATCCCGGAAGATGGATTGCTCTGCATACGCGAAGGACAGCAAAAGCACAGCTCCAAGATACACCGCCACTCTGTCGCAAATCGGACTTTCTGCACGAACGCACAGACGGCAGATGGTTGCATTGGTCTCGAGAGTGAGCTAAGACGATGATGAAGTCAACCGCACTGGGAAGGTAATGTTTAGTGTGGGCGTTCCGAGTGAGGAGGAGTGCGAAGCAGGTGCGTCTGGCGTATGAAATCTGAAGTTGCCTCGACGGAACTTCAGTTTTTACTGGTAATTATCAAGTGTCTTGAGAATCCTGGATCGTGAACGCACCTGTTTGAGCTGCCCAAATGCAGAGCCAGCGACGGTGACTCCCAGAAACACGTTGAACACCATGAAGTAGTAGAACTGCAAAAGGAGGAAAACAGGTGTCGCAAGAATGATCCACAATTAAACGACACGCTATAAGAGAGACTCGTAATATAGATGGGTTAATGCCATGCTCGTCAGCTGGTTCGAGAAACGCGCGTTCTCAATTACCGATGAGATCCGCGAGACAGGCGGCTTCCGGGCGGTATAAGCCCAAGGAGCGAATTTGGGATAAGCAGCGGAACGGCGGAAGACCCCAAGCGGAGTCGTCTTCCGTCCATGGTTACATCCGCCCTTCTCTGTCTGGGCAAAAGGAGGCACTCAAGATATATACTTCTCTTTCCAACTGGCATCAAGAGCAGTGCGCACGCACCCCCTGGCAACTACGTAGAAAGCTCAGCCGTAACCTATAACACGCGTCGCATGCCGTCCACGCTAACCCCGCGGCTGACCCTGCTTTTCCTGTCTGACACGTGTTCCAGTAACAATCAAACGAAACAACAACTGGGCGCACAAGAGCGGTACGATTTGACGGCTTTCAGCCTTTAGGGATGTCAAGCAGTAAGTGGATGAAGTTTTTTTTCTTTCTTTTTCTTTTTTGTTGACACAACCATTTTAGCGCTATATCCTTCCACTCTTTCTGATGTCGGAACATCATACTCGAGTGTCAGAATATAGATGCGCAAAGTGGCGCCGCGCACCTTGCCGGCGGTCCCGCGGTCGGCGTGCGACAGTGACGTCAGGTCCTCGCGCTTGGTGAGGAAGAAGAGCAGCTTGGGCAGGATCGCGAGAAAGATGAGCAGGGCCAGCTGCGGCAGGAACCCCTGCAAGATGGCCCTCACCGCGCCGCTGCAATGACGTCACGTCCGAGAATGACGTCAGACTCTGGTGGTGTCCAGCCACAGGTCCCACGTGGACGCTGTAGCCTGCAATTGTCATTTGGAACCAGGGGAAAGTGAATGGTTGAGGTAAGCATCAGCAAATGAGACGACCAAAAGAACGCCCGCAAAATTCCCGAACCGCGGATTTGGTTGCAATCGGCCGCATCAAGTCAGAACGAGATGATAGAAGGGTGCAATTTTGAGGGAGGCCATCAGAAATGATGTCACTCCCAGCCATCTTCCGGACTTGTCAGGAACCCAAACGTTTGCCCGCATGTTCGATAAGGCTTTGGGAAGTGCTTGCACTTCGCGGGAGGTCAAGAATTCAACAACCAGCTGTGATGTCAATACTGGAAACAAAACAGAGAGAATACGAACAATATATCAACAAGGAAACAGAAAACAGAGTAAAGCTGACTCACATGTCAAACACGGGGTCGAGGAAGGGCGCGAACTGGCGCAGGTTGTCGAGCGTGCTGAAGCCGGAGACGATCGTGATGGGAATCATGTAGAAGAAGATGATGAGAAACGTGATGCCGTAAACAATGCTCTGCCGCGCGAACCGCTCCCACCAGCTGACGCCCAGGTTGGCCCAGATGACGTCACGCGGCTCCGGCGCGAACTGCGTCTGCCACGACTCGGCCTTGCGGGCGTGGGCGGACTGCGGAGGAGATGGGGGGTGTGACGTCAGGAACGAGAGTTGTGCGGGGTTTCGCGACGGGCGGAGTCGCTTGGATGCCTGATAGCGTTGCACGCTTGCTTGCGGAAGCAAGAGCGAAATGTTGTGACAAGGAGGAACCAGCTTGGCTGTGCGGAGTTGAAGCTTCAATTGCAGGAGGTGTATGAGGCACTGTGAAGAGAGTCTACAGTGGAATAGGCCGGATACGGTAGAAACGAACATTCCGGCACAGCTGAAGTGTCTATACTCTTGTCCGCGCAACCGCTTCGATCCCTCTATCAAAAGCAGGATCAGCAGCCCTCAAAGCTGAACTCGAAACCCCACACAACTAAAGGTTGGAATTTTGAACCTGCCAGGGAATCTGTCAATTTGTTGACATAGAATACACCAATCTGAGGAAAAGAGATGCAGAATGGTGCCAGTCCGCACAACAGGCGGGAATCGAAAGCCGGCCCCAATCATGCACAGCAAACCCGGACAGAGTCTGATGGGTCGAACCCAATGGGTATCAAGAAAGATTACAGTAAGCTCCGACTAGCACTCAAAGTCCTGACCCAAGAAGATTCTCCTCCGAACCTTCCCCACCTAACCTCCAAACTAACCCTACCCGTCCTGATGCGGTTACCTTGATTTTATCTCAGCTTGTCATTGATTTTCTTCAATACGATCCAAACCCTTACCTGCGCCGCCATGGTGGCAACCGCGCGCGAGTTGAAGAAGACGAGCGCCGCGTCAATGGTCCGCTCGTTGACGGTCTTCCGCCGCTCTTCCGCCAGCTCCGGGCCTAGTTCCGCCAGCCGCTTCTGGCACCAGTCAATCGTGTCAACCTGCGGACGGAACAGAATCAGCTGACGTGACGTATGAGCATGGCGCCTGACTAGTGCTGCAAAAGACTCTCAAGAAACGCCTGGGCGTCGGAACCAAAATTGATCTATCATAAAACTTGAACGAACTTCGACCAGGGAGCCGGACCAACGACAATCTACGATGAGCAAAGAACGAACTTCGACTATGGAATCCAAGCCAGGCGCTTGTTTGCTGGACCCGCGTCCGTTTCTAGACCAGACTCTTTGTCGTTTCGCCCCGCACCAAAACCGACAGGCGGGACACCGGAACCTGGCGTGCTTAGCCGGCAAGCCCATGCCGGGATTGCAACGAATTGAAAACTTTGAGCAGCAGAGTTACAGACCGCCATCCATGCAGAACCGCTGAGCGCTCTGACGTCACCTTCTCCCCAACGAGGCCGAGGAAGCCGGTCTTGTGCTGCGGCCGCTTGGCTTTCTCCGAGTCCTTCTTCTGCGCCTCTGCGTACACGGCCTCGGCGTGGGCCAGCTTGCGGCGCACCTTCTCTTTTTCCTTGTACTTCTTGTCAACCTGGAACGAATGACAGGCTTGTGACGTTCCTTCTCCGTCGGAGTCGCTGTCAGTTAGCGACGGAACACGGGTCCAGGGCATTCATTACTATGCTTTCCGCCTTCGATTCCCGTCTGCCACGAATGGCAGGATATGAGGATTGACGAATTCAAGACCACCGGGCTCAAAATGGGCCGATATAAGGCAACCGTCGTTTCACAATTGACCCACTTGGGTCAGGCCATGAATCAGCAGCTTCTGTAGAATGCACTTTTCAAATCGTCCGAATCGCTCGTTCCGAAGAGCTCCCTAACTGTGTCGATCCATTAGGAACGCACGATCACCGAAGCGTTTGCGCAGCACACAAACACAGAAGCGTACTACCCCAAACATCTTTCGAAAATGGCCGCCGTCACCTACTTCGAGCACATTGCAACCAGCCAAACGCTTCCTGGGAATAATGCGGCTAACTAAATGGCTGCCAACCCTGCCAACAAAGTCAAGACCTGCTGATTTGGACATTTTGCCATTTCAAAAGCATCATGACATATTTTGGACTTTGCCAGACCCCGCAGAAAGTGCAGAAGCAGCATGTCCTCGCTGTAGCCTCTAGTGGCCTAAACAACATACGTCAAGCATGCGGCCCTTACAAAAGCTGAAATACTTCTCCTTACCTCGGACAGTTTCGTGATGACCTGCGCCCGCTCATACGTCCTCGGGTGCAGCCTGTGAAAGAAGCTATCGACCTGGGAGTGGCGATCCGTTTCACTCGCAGGAATGTCTGTCACTAGCACCGCGTATTGGCGCACGGTCGCCCTGGCACCAAAGGAGCTCAGGAATTGGGCCCGCAAATGGGACATGTTCTTGTAAATTGTGTAAAGGATGAAGTAACAGGAGAACGCCACCCAGTACGCGGCGATCACGTGCGTCCAGAGGCGCGGGGAGCCCTGCAGAGGATTGAGATCAAAATCTGAGTTTTAGCGGTCCATGCAGGGCCTCTGTGCTTTGGAGTGCGACGTGTGGGGAATTATGTCTGACTCCTGGCAGTGCACGTAATGATCTTGGAAAGAAGATTTGTATCTAGCGGCCCTTTTAGACCCCAGACCTGACAGCGCTCTGGTTCACTGCTATTAGAGCGAAGGGAGCATTCGAGAATCTCTGGAACCGCTATTGATTGGCCACTTAGAGCGCACGCTGAAAGTCGTCACAGCCAAAATGGATTCGTGAAACGTATGACTGAAAGAGTCAGCGAGAGTTACCTTGTCAACGTTCCCCATGCTCATCTTGTCAAAGTTTGAGAACTGGAGCTGCCTGTCCGGGTCTCCCGCGACGCTGGGCTGCTGGTTGAACTCAGCGTAGTAGTTTGCCGTGACTGGAAGAAGCAGATTGCAGATTGAGAAGAGACTTGCAGGGGACCGTCAAGACATGAGCAAGCGGATAGTTTCACGGACAGACCGCACCATGTGAGCCAAGCAGCGCTAATGATGACAGCACCATAAGAGGCAATGCAGAATGGACCAAGTTATCTGAATCTTAACCTGAATGTCGACATTGAGCACAAGCCTTCAATCTCTCCTAGCATTCAGCGTTATCAAGTATCTCGTAGAAGACCGTACCAAAGCAAGAAAGAGGGAAGCGATCAGAGAGCGACAATTGGAATGCAGCTTGGGCCTAGACAGAGTCTCAAGATGGGGCAGTGCCTCAGTGTTCTTACCGTTGACTGGCAGCTCAATGATGACGCAGTACAAAAAGGACGCGCCAAAGATCTTCAGAGCTGCACACGGATTGGTTGTGACCTCAACAAACAGAGATTTAGAAGATGATCGTTTGATTCAGAAGGCACAGGCCCTGAAATGGTCAACAGCTTTTGAAGCACAAAGTGAGGTCAAACAGCGACGTCTATACTTGCGCACATCCACAATATGTCACCCTTCCGGCTGGCTTCTGACAAGAGGGCCTGCCCGAATGGATGTGTCGAGGTCCCACACACTTTTAGAGGGCTTTGGATTTCCGTTTGCTCCCCATGCTTTTGTACCTTAGCATCTTCTTTGGGCAATGGGAGAGTCCAAGACCACCTTCCTTTGTAGCAACATAGGGGCAACAGAAGAGTCCAAGTACCACTTTCCAGCTTCCCCTATCTAAAAGACACTCAGCTCGATTGCACTAGTAAGAAGGACAAGTCCAAGGACTGGCTACACTTACCTGTTTTGAAGAGCGTAACATAAGCAAGTGCATCCAAGCCTGCTCTCTCTGCAATCTCCGTGTCGCTCATACAAAATGCATCACTCAACCATTGGAAGATTGCTTATATTTTGGAATCTGGAGGGCCAGATCCATGCAGAATGCGCCTGCTGTAATAGATAACAGCCAGGCTTGCCTTCTTTGAAAGAACGAGAAACACGACCACGAGCAATGTGAAGATCACAATACTCGTGATCAGATTGGTCAGAAACCCGGACAGTGAGGTCGTCATGTTGGCAGTAGCTACTTTGACATGCTGGTTGGTGGCCTGAGTAAGCCTTCAATAGAGATTGCGCCTTCAATAGAGATTGGTCAACAACCGGGTAGCAAAGAAGTGGCTTCCACAATGCAAGCGAAGTAATCGCGCCAGTTATGAGTGGTGGCTAATGAAGCACGCCGGTTCGCTTAGTCATACAAAACAATCGTCCAATGGTTGGACACTTTTGTCGACTACACAGGCAGGTCACAGACCAGGCTGATTGCAACGTCCCTCTTCTCCTGATCTCAGGCAGTGCAACGCTACGGAAGTCCTCTCATGACAGAAGGTACGTCTGAGTGCGCCTCAGGCGCAGGATTCCTCCGTGCTTGGTTGCATGCGGCAAATTAAGCGTGCAACTTGCCGTTCACTTGTCCACAGGCCTAGCGCCGGGGGACTAGGACGTCTACAGCCTCAGGACATCCTGCCTGCGTCTTCCTCCTTTCTTTCTTCAGGAGGTCTGCATTCTTGGCAGCCTGAAAAAAGCACCAGGCTGTCATGCTGGGTCATCACTCGGTCCCTGCAAATGGTGGAGGGGACGGGACGTGTCGCGCCAGGGGTGCTCAAAAGTTAGCGAGCTGCGACGACAATGACGTACACCAATTGGCAAATTGTTTCAACCGTCCAGGTGCTATTCTTCAAAGTATCAACGGCTGCTCGGTGTATACTTTACTGCCTATGAAGCCATATCAATGATTGAGCTGTCGACATTTAAACCCGGTAGTCCCGGAGAGGAAGCTCAGGAGTCAGCACTGCCACTTGTGAAGATTGGCAGAGCATTTGGGTCGGAAATGGTCTGATGACTGCTCATCATGGCTTGTTCAGGATCGTCTCGTTCCGAAGCAACCTCATCCGTGATATTTCGAGCACTAAGCTGCTTCATATATGTATGTGCGTCGGAGCCTGAAGGAGGCCTGGGAGCAGCGAGAGTTTCTGAATTCAGCCAAGGCTTCTTCTTAAGGCATGCTTGACACACCGTACTAGTGCATACCCTGCATTTTACCAAATCAAATGCATGAAACTTTTCTGCATTGCCATGCACAACTTTTCAAGTCTGCTGCAAAAAGATCACTTCTTCCTATCAAAAATATTTGGTAAGACGTCATGAATAATTAGCTCATTCTGACTGACAGGGAGATTCATTCGCCTGATACCGGTAGATTGGTCGAGAACTACTGCAGAAAAGCGGTCGAATCAACAATTAAGGCCATTTCAAAATGACGGTTGATGAAGGAGTCAGGGTGCTAGGCAGCTTAACCAAATAGAAGTTCACCAATACTGACATATTCTTCATGGCGATCGTAGGCTTTTAGCAAAACCGCCTTGAACAGGCTATGTTCTCTCTTCAGGCTCGATCGATCTAAGCTCATCATGGCATCATACATCGGCCCCGCATACTATGGTCGAGACGTTTACCACAAGCTACTGTAGCATGACGTCTTAGATGAGTTCATGCGCAACAGATGCTCAGTTCTAACATCATGTTATACAATCGCAGCTACCTTCAGCGAGCGCTTCTCACCAAAGGAGCGTAACCAGACCTTAGTTTATTGTTTATCTCAATGACGCACCCTTAAATGACACTGACCTTAAAGGCTTCGTCACACTTCTCCGAACCCTTCCACGATGTGTTGCTGCACTATTGTCATCAACCGTTGCTTCTTGATTAGCTCGTAAGAATCGTAAGCGGGAAGCACTATAAGTTGAAAGTAGCAGGTGTGCGCTCTGGGAAGGCTCTCTGGTGCGGCCTCCGTGTGGTGGATGTGAAAGCGCTCGGACAGGCCCGCAAAGCTGCGCCCCGTGGAAGGAAGATAAAGCACGGTGGTAGCGAATTAAAGAAGACGGTAAGTTGCGTTGACAGGAAACAGGCCCGAATCCTAATAACCCCCTAACTGCTTAAATCTTCCATTTTGCAGTCCCGCCGCCGCACCCGTTGGTAGCAATGATTGAAAATGCAAAATACTTGCCGTGTCACTCAGTAGAAGTCCGAGTCGGCCTTATCTTTCTTACAAGTATCGTCGGAGCCCAAGAGCCTAGTCAAAGCATGAGCAGCACGCCTTACCATGTTTGGTTCAATTGGCGTTCATGCTGCAGTGTATTGAATTGAGCATTCTGCGAGGAAATCGCGCCTAAGTGCGTTGAACGAAAAGGTGCGGTTGGCGAATGATGCGCATATGTGGATGATAAAGATTGCATGACTTTGCTCAGATAGATCATTCATCGACGTACGTTTGCCGTTGCACACATTGTCACAGGTAAACCAACTTCGCGGATTGATGCAGGGCTCGAGCATGTGCTTTTGTAATATTACTCGCGGCAGATTCAGCACTGACCGCAAATGCAGGTCTGGCACAACTCATACAAATCATGCAAGCGCGGGGCAGATCGATCCAGTGTCGGAAGAGATCAAGAGACGATTGTAAGTAGGACGACAACGAAAAGGATAGGAAACAGTAATCTGCGGAGTGAAGTAGAGAAGCGCAAGAATGTTCTAAACAGTTTTCACAAATCTAACCTCGACTTAAGCGATGTGCCTAAATGTAAGACCAACATGGTCCAAGTCAGCTCGTCGTCTAAACGATTAACTACAATAAGTTGCGAGCATTAGTACCGGTATAAAGTACCATTTTTACCAGTGCAAACTTAATCTGACGTAATCAATCAGAAGCTAGAATAGCTCTTACACACTTTTCTTGACAACGTCAGAACCAACTTGTACAGCGTGCGCTACCGATCATGAAAAAAGATCTACCCCTCGTGCACGAATCCGTTTCAGTACTCAACGCGTATGCTTGATGCACCTAGACAACCTTTCTGTTGCCACCGTTCAGCAACGCCGTCTCATGCTCCCTGGATGACGCCTTCGCTGGAGAGAAGGAAGACTCGACGTCCTCGTTTTCACCCGCCATGCACTCCGGCGTGTAAGCGGCCATGACCTCCTGAATACTGGGCTCCTCACTCACCTCCTGCTCACAGAAAGCATCCTGGTGTGAACAAAGTGTGGCCAGGACTACCAGACCCTTTGAATGGTAAGCAATGCCAGCGACCACCACAAACGGAGCCGAAACAACCGGGCAACGTACAGAAGGAGTACCGCACTATAGCGTATATACGAGCTGCATATCCCTTTTGGCTGTGAACGAGGGTGGTAAGATTTTTGTCATCAGTCAATGGCAGGTTTGCCGAAATTCTCCAATGAATGGACAAGGAAACAGAACCTCAGGGGTGTAAATCGTAAAGTGCAGAACGAAAAAGATGTGGGAAACAAGCGACCTCTCAGCCGGATCGCGATGTTCTGCAGAGCTTCACGCCCTTCACTTGACTCCGCTTTCATTGAATCCAAGGCTTGACCAAAGATGACCCGGCGACCTAACTGATTCGGCCTCTCGATGACCGGCACGTAGTCTCTTGTTAAGGTACTCGTCCGAAGAAAAGTTCAGATCTCCACAGCCAGATACCTCAGAAACCTTATATTAACGTGGAAAGTCTCAGGAGGGTCACTACGTTTTCCATGAGCCAGACTCGTCTGCAAACTCGGTGCACAAGCTGCTGCCGCTTACCTGGATCGCGACTTCGATTGCCGTCGACGTGAACCGCGGCTCGAGGCACTTCTTAGTGAACAGGTGGAACACCACGGTTAGGATCGGTAACGGGATCATAACCGGCGTGGCTGTGAACTTCATGATGCCCATGAAGCCCAGCAGCGTCAGTTGCGCAATGAACAGGGACGCCACGAAGCGCTTGTGGATGTGGGGATACATGCGGCCGCCGGACTCGTACTCGGGGACCTTCACTTCCAGCGCCTGCGGGTTAATGGGTGGGTTAAAGAGAGATAGGTTCCGAGAGGGCTGCCCTTCGGGCTGCGGCTATCTTTTCACAAGCTTTATAATATATGAAGAGCGGGTTATGGGATTTTGCGCAGTCTGAGCCGTCCCTTAGCTTTCGTACTCGGCGATTATAACTTCCAACACCTGGAGGTTGACACGTGGGTCCAGACTCTGTTGCGAAGATGTAAGATGCAGAGTCCTTAAGAAATTGCTTCTGAGAGGATAATCGGCTGTGAGTTAAGTGCGGCCGCCACTCTCGTTAATCGGAGACCTCCACCTCCAGCGCCTGCGGTTTAAAAACTGGGTTGGTACTCGTGTCTAATCCCTTGGAACCCCTGAAACGAACCCGTCAGGAATCGAGATTCGAGCGGGTTGTGGAAACCCGGCTTCGAGTCCTTGAGCAGCGGCGTCGATTCCCGTCCTCAAAGATCTTAGTCCTCAGCTTCTGCACGGTAGTCATGGGGGTTGAGAAGTGGTTTCTGGAACGCGAAACTTTGTCAATTCAAGGGAGGGCTGCCGGATTGCGTCGCAAGAACTTGGAAAGTGAGCGGACAACTGACTTAGCGCGGTCTATGCCATGCTTAGCTCTCGTACTCGGAAACATTGCTTTTTAACGGCTGCGGGTTAAGACGCTGACGTGGAGAAGCGTAATCAAGGGGTTAAGAAACCGTAATAGATGGCTTTGGAGCGGATACTTGGTTTCAGGAGTCGAGAGATTAAGCGGCTGACACGTCGAGGAGCCAGACTTCTGTGCAGGTCGAAATAAAGCATTTGGATGGGTTCTGGAATACGATCCCAACGTCGACATAGGAATTTAAATCACAAGTGACAATAATCCCGGCGAGCGGGTTCTTCCATCCACTTCATGTCAACTGACCCGTTACTCACCAGGTTCTTGTTGATGATGTACCCGAGACCCAAGTAGACGATGCAGAAGGGGATGATGATCGGAGCGATGACCGCGTAGCACCTGCACAAGCGTACATAACGATCAGAAACAATATATAGGTAAGAAGAAACAAGAAGACCCAGCCCACGATCTGAAAGTGAAGACGGCTTGCTTCGTGTAAAAGGGTCCCAGGGCTGTAAAGCTGTACAAATTACAAGCGCGCGCGTCTCGCGTTCGGGATGGAAGAGCTCGGGCCAGCATTCCGTGCTCGTTTGGGCGGTGCTTTGCAATAGGAGAAGAAGAGCCGGCGACCTTTGATAATTTTACGCGTGACGGGCAGGGGTGGGATGTTTGTTCTACGATACATTTATTTATACCTACGATGACATTATCGCTGAAAGCTGTTCAATACACACTCAAAGGCCTATGACGCTAGAACGGAAGCAAATGTGCCCAAAAGCATCAACAAAGCGCGTTGTTTCGGATCCAGTTGAAAGGGCGTTCCGTGTCCAAGATAGCGCTCGCCCCTTCGATTGGACCAATGAGGCTTTTGTTTCCTTTAGGTTACAGATGTTTCCTTTAGGTTACAGAGGTTGATAACTTGCACATACTTACTAGCCCACAAACCCACAAACCCGTAATTAGCGCCGAAGATAATCCCAACTCTAAGCAGCCTTGTCGACGCAAACTCATCTTCCAAGGCAATTGTGCCCGGGACTCACAATCCGAGCAGCACGATGAGCAGGTCCTTGGGCACGGTTGACCCGTAGCTGAAGCTCCCGGGCGCCCACGAGTCCCGCTTTTCTTCCTCGGTCTTAACCAGGAACTTGAGCTTAACCAGGTAGATAACCACCCGAATCAGCTGGGAGAGCGCCAGGCCGTAGCCCACAAACCCGCTGAGCGCGATGTAAGTTATGAAGAAGGTAGCCTGCTGGGGAATGGATGACCCCAGGAGGTCCACGATCCCGGTTGGGTTCTCGGTCATCTGCGGAAGAGAATTTGGGGGGTGGATTGAGCAAACGCTTAACCTCTCAATCTCTAAATTTGGACCAGTAAGTGATAAATTTCCCGGGGACTGTGAGGCTTAGTCAGGATCGGAGTTCTAAAGGAAGTTACGTTTACAATCGGGCTCTTGAACATTTAGGGAAGTAACCTTCGCAGAATTGTTAGGCATTCTGAGGTGAGCCTGATGAGGTGAGCCTGAGCATCCAATGAGTCAGACTTATGCGAAGGGGGTGGACTTTAGCTCGAATGCAGCCAGCAATCATAAGGTCGACACTTCTGAAGAAAAGAACGACAACCAGACTTCTTTGGCTGCAGCCTTACCGAGCATCCGCCGAAAATCCAAATTGGAGTTAGGACTGATCCGCATACGCAGAACGGCAGCATAGCAGTGAGAAACCACCAACCACATCTCAACGGCTAGGCTGCTCAAAACTTCAACAACGAAAGATGGTGTTCGCACCTGCTTGAGCTGCCCAAAAGCGGAGCCCGCGACCGTGACTCCCAGGAAGACGTTGAACACCATGAAGTAGTAGTACTGCGCAGAAAGGGTTACATGTGTTGCAGAAGTGACCCATGATCGAAAGAAACGCCATGGAATTGATCCCTGCTGTTAAAAAGATTGACGACCTCAGCCTAAGCATTTGCAGTGTCGAGCAGAGAGGGTATAAGACGCTGCCCGCAATCAAAGGCCCAAGAATTGGACACGTGAAGGGATAGCTGCGGAAACGGTTTGCTTTCGTTCCGGCCAAGTCTGCCCTTTTGTCTAGCTGGCGCCATAAAAGCACACGAGATACTTCCAATTCATCATTGAACTAAAAGCAATCTGCACACAATTGGGCACCTAGTCAAAAGCCCAGCCGGAGAATGCACGCTCCAAAACCACACCACGCTAACCCCTCTGCTAACCGAACCCTTCTCCCGGATCCCTACCCCAGTGCAAGTGGCTCCGATCACTTCGACAAACTTTCCAAGTGCGCACAAGAAGGTCAAAAATTTTCCAGTATTACTGGCACCGCGCACCTTGCCGGCGCACCCGCGGTCGGCGTGCGACAGTGACGTCACGCCCTCGCGCTTGGTGAGGAAGAGGAGCAGCTTCGGCAGGATTGCCAAGAAGACGAGCAGGGCCAACTGCGGCAGGAACGCCTGCAGGATGGCCTTCACCGGGCCGCTGTGATGCCCAAAGCATGACGTCAGATTCAGGTAGGGTGTTAGAGCAGGTGAGGCGAATCAAGGGCCCACCGTTCGTGTGTTGGACAGAAGAGCTAGAGAGCCTGCGGGTCTGACGTCACCAAAGGAGCGGCTGCACAGCAGTGTAAGCGTTTGAAAAGCACCGCATATGTGCTCAAAATGGCGCTTGTAAGTGCTCATACGCATCCATCTTAACAAGGACACTTGCAGTGGTCCGTACACTTAAGCTTGAACGTCACAAATTATTCGAATATCGTCTTCAGGTTCTGAAGAAAACAAGACCTCAGTGTCTTGTCGATGACAGGGTGAGGAAAGATAAAAGGCCGTTCCTTGACAAATGAAAGAGGTTCGAGAGAGGACCGAGTTTTACTCACATGTCAAAGACTGGGTTGAGGAAGGACGCGAACTTCTTCAGGTTGTCCAGCGTGCTGAAGCCGGAGACGATGGTGATGGGGATCAGGTAGAAGAAGATGATGAGGAACGTGGCGCCGTAGACCAGGCTCTGCCGCGCGAACTTCTCCCACCAGCTGACGCCCAGATTGGCCCAGATGACGTCACGCGGCTCCGGCGCGAACTGCGTCTGCCACGACTCGGCCTTGCGGGCGTGCGCTGACTGCGGAGGAGGAGGAGTGGGTGACGTCAGGGTGACGTCACTAAGTGAATGTGGACGTCCTGAGAAAGCAAACTGAGCGTCGAGAACATCGAGAGCGTCGAGAGCAGGAAAAGGTGGACAAACTGGTAGCTCGAGCACGCGAATACACATGTCAAGCGAGGACTCGCTCCATTGAAAAGCGAAAGAAAAGGACCGGATATATTCTGTTGCTGCCCGGTGCGTGTGATCCATCCGAAACATCGTCGTAGACGATGCTCAGCAATCTTTGGAGCTTCCAACGGCAAACTTAGCATACGAGTACTGCTTACGATGCGAATATCAGACGCTGAAAAAGCTGTGAGGCTATAGCGCCACGTAGAGAAAGGAACGTCACAGTCCGCACATGCAGGCGGAGCTTACACAGCGGAGCATCATTCACAAGCAGAAAAGCTGAATCCGTACCTGCGCTGACATCGTCGCAATTGCGCGCGAATTGAAGAAGACGAGCGCCGCGTCAATGGTCCTCTCGGCGACCGTCTTTCGCCGCTCTTCCGCCAGCTCCGGGCCGAGTTCCGCCAGCCGCTTCTGACACCAATCAATCGTGTCGACCTGCGGGGGAACAAGTGCCCGGCCTACGTAAAATTCCGGTTGGCCGTAACTTCTTGAGTTGCAGGGGAGAGAAGTGACCATTCATAAGCTTTAGTGATCTTTGCTTTCTAAAAGACGGGTTTACTTAACAAAAGAACGATGGGCGTGCCGGACCGGCTGAGAGGTCTTTTTCAACGCTTCGGTACTGGTTCTGCGTAGCCCGTACGCTTGAATACTCCTGGCGCCACAGGCAGAGACCGGAGCCAAACATAGTACCTAAGAAAGACCAGGACCGTGTCCAGCCGTGAAGCACACACACTCGAGGGGCACCCACGATAGGAACTGACGTCACAAGCAGAGCGGACAGGCTGCAAATTGGCATTTACAGAAACTTCCTGCACTCTCTGGCCTTACCTTCTCTCCAACGAGGCCAAGGAACCCGGTCTTGTGCTGCGGCCTCTTGGCCTTCTCTGTGTTCTTTTTCTGCGCCTCTGCGTATGCGGCTTCTGCGTGGGCCAACTTCCGGCGCACCTTCTCCTTCTCCTTGTACTTCTTGTCAACCTGGAAGGATGGTCAGAAAAGGTCGGGCAAGATATCTGCTTGATGTTCGTTACAAGTAAGCCGCCATGAAAGGTGGCTTTCAGGCCATGAGCGAATCGGCTTTTCTCCTCGTCAGTATATGATGGTCGAACGGCTCAATGTTTTGTTGATCTATTTCTGGTAAGTTGTGCAAGACATCTCAGATAGCTCTCACAGCAACAGCTTTTTTTACATGAGATCCAGAGAGCGACTTCTGAACTCTTCCGAAAGATCCTAGTGAATTTCACGATTGACCAACAAACGATCCCGCCCCCTGTGACAGCTCTCTCACACTGCCTCGCTCTCGCATGTGCAACAGCACATTCCAGGGGGTCGAAAGCTCCTTCAGAACAGGAGTTTCCGCTGCGCAAACACTCCCGTAAACCACAACAAATCTGCCAAACTAACCTTCTGCAATCTCTGCCGCTTATATCGTTCGCACAATCTGCCAAGCACAGCAAACCAAGCAGATTCATCTAAGAGCATGGTCCTCGCACCCTTCACCAGACTACTTATAACCAAGTAGACCAAACCATGGAGAGAACGACCTCTCACCTTGGTCAGCTTCGTAATGACCTGCGCCCGCTCAAACGTCCCTGGGTGCAGCTTATGGAAGAAGCTATCGACCTGGGAGTGGCGATCCGCTTTTTCACTCGCAGGGATGTCCGTCACTAGCACCGCATATTGCCGCACGGTCGCCCTGGCACCGAAAGAGCTCAGGAACTGGGCCCGCATGTGGGACATGTTCTTGTAGCTGGTGTACAGAATGTAGTAACAGACGAAAGCCACCCAGTAGGCGGCGATCACGTGCGTCCAGAGGCGCGAGGAGCCCTGCAGAGTGATCCTCGTTTGAGAGTTCTGAAGCTGTCAGGTGGTGTCAAAGTCCAGCATCTGTGTGGCTTGAGATGCAATGCAGCGTACTTACACCCGACTTCTGATATTGCACATATGGACTGGGAGGAGAATCCATAGCTGGCCGCCAATTGGTGCTTTAAAGACCCGGTGACATTCTCATTTGTGTGGTCTGGGATTCAACTGTGCATCTCACAATGCTGAAGAACTTGACCAACTAGCCACTCAGAGAGATTCAACTGCATGGTCTTGTACCTCTCAGCAAGAATGCACAGATGTTCATATCCATGAGAGAAGAGATAGCTGCTGATACCTTTTTTACGTTTCCCATGCTCATCTTGTCAAAGTTTGTGAACTGCAGCTCCCTATTTGGGTCCCCCAAGACGCCGGGCTGCTTGTTGTAGTCAGTGTAATAATTTCCGGTGACTGTAAGAAGCAAACCAGAATGCAATGAAGACTTGGAGCAAAAATGCAAGAGAGATCTATCAGGCAGATTGTTCCACAGAGCCAGAGTGCACCTCATGAAGACTCTGAGCTGTTCCCCACAGGAAAGCGTTCAGCGACAAATGAACACCCCAAGCTTCAAACAAACATAGTCAGGTGCAGGCTGCTAATGCCAATTAAAGACACATGACAGGTCACTAGTCGTAGGACATGGTGACCAATTTTCAGCTAAACTTCTGAGTTTGTGCACTAGCCTTCAGTCTCTCCTAGCAAGTGTACTGTATCACTCATCTTGTGCAAACCCTCAACGTTGCAAGAGAGAAGAAAATAACGGTCGGGAAACGACCAGGGAAACACAGTTTGCAGTCGGTTCAGCAGCCTGCGTGAGCAAAGCCTGACGAAGGGGCAGTGCCTGGAAAATGTAATCTTACCATTGACTGGCAGCTCAATGATGATGCAATACAAGAGGGATGCTCCAAAAATCTTCAGACCTGCAAGCAAAACGATTGTGAGCTACATCCTGCACCTCAATGATTACTGCAGAGAACAGGGATCATAAGAGGACCATCGCTGGCAGCTCAGGCAGCGCAGACAGGCACAGGAAGCGAGCAGCACTGACTCTGAAGATAACTCCCTGTAACATTCATCAGCTCCAGAAGCACGAAAGGAGGTCGGACAGCAAGGGCTGAATAAGGATTCACTCGTGTCAACTTTTCCTCAGGGCCAGTCAGCAAGAGGAGCTGCTAAACTGGACTGGTCACAAAAGAGCCAACAGAAAATAGATGAGCTTTGAGGTATTGTTCATGTATCACCTCCACAGTCAGTCCATCCAAACACAAGCCATAGTAACTCATTTTGCATTCATCAATAGAAACCACATAATCTGGCCCACACTCACCTGTTTTGAAGAGCGTGATATAAGCTAGTGCGTCCAGGCCTGCTCTTTCTGCAAGCTCTGTGTCGCTCATACGAAATGCATCAGTCAGCCATTGGAAGGTTCCTCTGGATTTAGGTTCAGGTGGGCCAACCCCGCTGAGTATGCGCCTGCTGTAGTAGATGACAGCCAGGCTTGCCTTCCTTGAGAGAATGAGAAAAACGACCAAGAGCAACACGAAAATCACGATGTTCGTGATCAGATTGGTCAGAAACCCGGACACTGAGGTCGTCATGTTGGCGGCTACTGGATCGATGAGCTAGATGTTGGCCGGTTTAGTCTCAATGGAGATTGTTGTCTTTGGAAAAGCAGGTTGCTTTCTCTTGTCGATAGAAGCTGTAAATTCACGTGCAAAGGAAATAATTGCGACGGTCTTTTCGGTGGCGCCGGCTGAAGCGGCACGCCAGTTTGCTTAGTTGCGCAAAACAATTGTTCAACTGCTATGCACTTTCAGGCAATTGCAAACCCCTGAATCCAAACGAATCTTCCTACTTTCAGGAAGTGTCAACCACCTTTCACGACATAGACTGTGTCAGAGTGCGCTTCTTCCGGATCCTCCTGTGCTTGGCTGCATGCGGCAAAACCTGGGCAAATCTGTTGGCTGGCTCAACTGGCCACCGCCTCTAAAAGAAGCAGACACTACAGAAGTTCCTGCGGTGGCGTCTTCCCTCCTTTCTTCCAAGTGTTTGAGCGTCTGGAAAAAGCACCGGCTGGTGTTTCTGGACATTGCTTAGTGCAATTTGGTGGAGGGGATGGGACGTGTCGCCCCAGAGGCGCTCAAGAGTCAAAAGTCAGCAAGCTGCTGACGTTAGCTGGGCCACCAATTGGCAGACGTTGAACCGTCCAGCTGCTTGTTTTCAAAGCCATCGACGGTTGTGCGGTGGAACTGAGATTCTATGAAGCCGTGTCAATGATTGCGCTGTCGACATAAATCCTGCCAATTCGGAGCCCAGTTCAATTCCACCTACCGGTAGATAGTATCGATACTAGGTAGAGGGTACTGCCCAGGGACTTGCCCAGGGTGTAATACCCGTACGACCAAGGTATGATTCCGAATGCTCAAAAAAGGCAATTATTTTGACGAATGCGAGCCCAAATGATGTGTTATTTTCCACTTTCCGAACCCAAATCCGATTTGCCAGGAGGTACCTAGGTACCCATATTCTCCAGGCGGTTAACGGTAAAAGGTACGTACCGTATGCTTATACGGCCTTGGAAGTCACTGTCCGAATGAGTTTTAGCAATTATTTTTGGTTTCCGAAAAAGCAGAATCCGACTGCTTATCCGGAGTTTCCAACTTTCCGAATGCAAATAATTATTTATTTATTCGGAATCATACCTTGGTCGTACGGGTAGCCGCCGAAATTCGAATGAGCCCGAAGCACTGAGCAGACAGTCAGGATACCGTATCTCTATGAGTCACGACTCACGAGTCACGAGTCGTCGAGTCAGCACCAACTCAGCTTGAGCTACGCGCTTAGCGGACCAGTCTTGCATGAAGCAAACTCGTGGCCGCAAACATCCGTGGAAACAGTCGAAGTCCGACTTGAGTGGAGCGAAAGTGTGCAATTCATTGCATCATTGGGCTAAGTTCTTTAACGCATCACATGTGATGGTGCATGCATATAGTACCCCGCATTTTTGATATATTACCTACCGTAAATAGCTAGTTTAGTACTACTTCAGGTCTGCCTTACATCTCTAGATCTGACCGTCGGTCGATCGACGGTCAGATCTATGATCCAGAAATTTAAGATTATGCTCACCGTCTCATATTGTCGTTCCCTCGACTCATTTGGCTGCGCTGATCATTGTGCATTGCAGAGGAAAGATCAAACGACATGCCATAATATAAGTCCTTTGACAATCGAATGCATGGCGAAGGAGTCCAGCTGCCAGGCAGCTTTCCATCATAACCAGATACAGATACACGAATGGTCCAAAACAATTTATGGCAATTGGGTGGCAATCGCGAAGGGTTTTGGAAACTGCATGTGTACTCTTTCATGTCCAAACAATCCGAGCTCGTCATACGTCGGGCCCAGCTTACTGTAGGTTTTCTAAAAAAGTATCTTAGCAATAGGCTTTGGAAAAATTGCATTTTGCAATAGATGCTCAAATCTATCATGATTGCAACTGCCTTCAGCGAGCGCTTCTCACCGAAGGAGCGAGCCCAGATCTCAGTGTATATGTCCATCTCAACGACCCCCCTAAAATGACACTGATGTTTGGCTTCGTCACACTTCTCCAAACCCTTCCACAACGTGCTGCTGCACTATTGTCATCAACCGTTGCTTCATCAGCTCGTAAGAACCGTAAGCGGGAAGCACTAGTTGAAAATAGCATGTGTGCGCTCTGGGAAGGCTCTCTGGTGCGGCATCCGTGTGGTGGATGTGAAAGCGCTCGGACAGGCCGGCAAAGCCTATGGAAGGAAGATACCGCACGGCGGTAGCAAAGAACAGTAAGTTGCGTTGTTGATCGGGGTTCAGGCTTTGGACAGCCAGCCAGAAGTTCTGGATGACAGGATGCTCGTCAGTGTACCCATGGTAGGTGGTGTGCTCCATCCAATATTCGATGGAGATGTCCGCAGTAGAGCCGTGTAGCAAGGAGTTGAATTCCTGCACGCAATAAACAATCTGAGGAATGCAACAGTTTGTCGGAAACCTTTTGAGTTTGAGGCCTCTCTTGACTGAGAATCTTGTGGAGCCCATTACCGACCCAATCTGTGCTCGAGGTCTTTTAAAGTTAGAGACAAGCGCCGCATATGAGCATATGCAAGTGCAAACGATAAGGATCAAATTGACGGCATGACATGCATCGAGGTCTTAGCAACTTTCAGACTTTCTTCACACGTCGGTCGTCTAAAATGAGAAAATCTTCAGGTAAAAGATGATATAAACGGGTTAGGCTTGCCATGCTTTGCTCAACAATGGTACCTCGACTTCATGCCTTTTCAATAACTCTCGTCTCCAGATTCATTTGAGTCCGACCCACAACCCTGCACAAACCAAAGACCACAAACCAAAGACCAAAAACCGTCGTGGCTGCGAAGCGAAGTCATGCAGCAAAGTACGTAAATCTGCATCTACAAAACGCTCCGCGTCGTCCTTTTCGTTCCATTCGGAACTCGCCTGCCTCTACAGTTAGTGATCACTTCAGAGATTAAATGTTAAGAACCAACTTAAAGGTTGCTCACCTCCTCCGTCAAGATGCCAAACGCTTCCCGCCATTCTTTGCCGCCATGACACAGCAGACTTTGTAAGCCCTCCCTCAGAGCAGCAATCTGCGGGCGCACAGGTTCCAACAGCTGCTTCCGGACCTTCAGGTTGACAAACTCCGCCCGATTTTTGGCGGTCACCTCTCTGTCGTGGCCCCCCCGGCACAGCTCCTGCTCGGTATGGCCCCCCAAGCGCTCAGTCGTGTACACAAAAGTCAGGCCGAGCTGCGCAACCTGGAAAAGAGGAAGGCTAAAATCAGATGTCTTCCGCTTTGGGCGGGCCGTCCATTAAGTATAGGACCATTGTTTCAACAGGCTTTCGTGCGCCTTCTCGTAGCTTACAGAGTGTTAATCATGCCGGCAGTCAACGAAGAATCAGCACAACTACAACCGGCGGCAATTCACGAGATTCCACGCCCTGATCCGGCATTGGCGTGACAGCATCTGTGGGTTTATACACTTGCTTCGACTTTGCACAATCCTACAGATTGGAGTGCGAACGAAGCCATATCCCTGCATCCTGAATCCCGGAGTTCGCAACCTGACCTACCAGAATCACCCAGTGCAATAAGCTGCGGTGGTTTCACGGGTCAGCACAGGTTGGTTTGGCAGAGCGTCCAGCTCAGTCTCTAGCCCAAAGCCTTATCAAACCCAAAAACGAGCCCATTGAGGACCCGCTCACTGCAGCAACCACGTGTTGCCCTTCGTCCAGAAAGCTCGTTGCAACCTGCAACGCAACCCGATATGGGACCAGATATGATGCTGATGCGAAGTTGCGGCCCTTTGATATGACGATATTCAAAGACTCAAAGCTCACCTCGCTCTCCGGCAGCTGCAGCAGCCGCTCGCACGACTCAAACAGCTCGGGGTCGATGTCCCGGGCCGCGAAGTGCCCCACACTCTGCCCCCCGGGGGACTCTCCCGGGCGCCTCAGAAGCCCATGCGCGAGCGCCGAGCAGAGCGTGATTCCCAACGGCATCTCGTGGGCGATGGCCAGAGCGATGAACCGGCCACAGAAGCGGAAGTAGGAGAGATGCCCGGGATTCACATCGGAGTTGAGGTTGGGGAACAGGCGGTTGCGGTCGGCGGGGGCGGTGCGAAACAGGGCGAATTCTGGATTGAAGAGCTCTCGGCTGACCTGTGTCAGAAGCAAGTCACGCATGAGCAGAAGTATGACTGCGAGAAGACCATAGCTTGTACCTTACCGTGAGACTTTCGTTCCGCGAGTTTTACCCGGACGACGTTGGTGAAAGGGATCGTAAGAGCAATCAGACCCTTGCGCTCAAGTCAGCGTCAGCCTCGAGACTTGAGCGGAAGCAACAGAGTCGAGGCGTTGACAAAATCGAAAGCGCTGCTGTTGAGGAACTCTGAAGGTTACTACTTCAGTGAATGGGGATTGCAAGTCACTGCCCCTCGTTCGGCAATTGTCTTATAGTCAAGTCTCGTTCTGTTGACGGAATAAAGAATTGACGCCTTCTGAACAGAATGCACTTGTGGACTGACTATCAACTCAGGATAGAAAGGCGAGTCCAAGTCATCAGTTCAATCCTCTGCTCTAGTTAATCTGCACAACGTGTTCCGACTCGATCTGATAGAAATGTGTAGAGGATAGGCGCAGAGGCTCCGCCACAGGTGCCACGGTCTCCCTCGTCGCTCCTAAGGAAGTCGATCAGGCAACGGATGAACTCAACTCTTTGACGGGGCAACTTACCACTGTGAAGAACTCGCGGATTACGCCCGGACCTAGCCCCGCCTCGTTCTGGAAACTCGCAACGATGCCCATGCTCAGCGTGCGTGCGTCGAAGCCTTCCTCGATCCCGCTAAACGCGTCCGCCAGCGTCTGAGACCCCCGCCTCACGTCGACCCGATGCCCGGACACCGGAAGCGGGAACGGAAGATAGTCCCTCAAGCAACTCTCCTTGAGGTGCAGCGGCCACAGATCCCGGTAGGGCAGCTCAAAAACACACCGCAGATGCTCGGAAGCGGTGAATGTGCCCGGCACTTGAAGCGTTAGCAAATCTTCCAGAGGGTTTGAGTTTTCGGAGAGCAAATCCCGCACTTTCGCCTCTAGATCAGGCCTTCCGCTTGCGGCTTTCGTGAGCGCGCGCAGGCAGCCAACCAGGTGCTCGAAGAACGTCGGTGGCAGCCCTCGGAGCGTCAAGGAGCGGCTCAATGGAATGGCACGTTGCTTTGTAGGATCTAGAGCCGCAGCCACAATCTGCCTTGCATATTCTCGATGGCCGGTCGCCTCGATCGCATCACCGAGCAGCGCTTCAACGGCCGGGCTGAGTTGTACACAGAGCTCCTCACGGCACTTTTCGTACTGCTCGTCAAGATAACCTGAACGCTGAAGACGATCTAGAACACCCGAGACTTCTTTTAAGCTAGGAAACTCTGGCGCCGGCAGCGGCGACCCCTGACCCAGACAAGCCGCATCTCGCTGGATTAGCACCCCCAACCTCGCTGCCAATTTTGCAAAGACTGCAGCAAAGCGCACGCCCCCACAATTCTGGTCGGAAGTTAGCTGCAAGAAAGTTTTCTGGATCGCGCTTGGGCCACACAGGCGGTTGAAAAGGTCCCGCAGGTAGTTGCTCAAAACGCTATCCGATCTGGCGGCGTCAGAACAGCGGTCCAGAAGCGCGTCAAGGAGGTGCCACCCAGTCAGGACGGCGATAAGGGAGGCGTCTGCCAGGTGCTTGCAGAGCAGTTGGACGGTGTAGAGAGCGACGAACCTGCAAAGACAACAGTGCGTGTTTTGGTGTCTTGACAGTAAGAAGTAAAGACATCACGGTGTTAGGGCCGACGTTACTTGGGCAAGCAACGGTGGTTCGCTTTAAGTGAGATTGGTGTGGCTTGTTGTAGACTGTTCTGCCATCTGGCAGACGAAGACTGTCCTCTTGAGCTAGGCATGCAATCTGAGTACTACATTTCCAACCTCTACCATCAACTGCGAGCAGTACAACTAAAAGAAGCTTTATAAACCCTTCAACATTTCAAACAGTATCAGATGGCTGCCAGGTTACTCATTGCAACAGCGACAAGACAGCATAAATGAGTTGAGAGCCAGAAGTGAAAGCTTGACGACAACTCAGAGTGCCGAGCTCAGCTCAGATGTATACACATGTGGCTCTGTAAAAAGCAGCCCGTAGAGCTGAGACCATGATTTGCCTGTGAAGTGAAGTGAACTCACGAGCTGTTGCTGCCGAGTAGTGACGTGATGGCCTCCAGTCCTCCTGTCCCCACAAACGTGGCAACCCGATGCTCTGCATCATGATCCTTCTGGCCCGGGGTCAGGAGATGGAGGTTCAGAGTCATTAGGAATGTCCCCACCATTGCATCTGTGCGCTGGCCCTGGACCATCTTCTTGGCGAGCTCTTGCAGCTTGGCACTGTGCTCAGCCACTGTTCTGCAACTGGAATGAAGGAAGAGGAGAGTCGGTATCAAGAAAACCTGTGTTCAAGACAACTAGGAAGTGTATGACTTGAAATGCTGACAACTTTGACTGGGGCTTGTTACCATAGCTTCCTGCAAGTACAATGACGCACGAGGTTCCTTGAGGAGTACTGTATGTCCTTGACAAGTGGCTGATACAAGATTTTGTTATCGACTTCTCGCAGCTTGTAAGTGCATTGTTTTCTGCTGGCCAGCTTCATTCCCCGCAAGAGAGGGCTGCAGAGGGTTAATCACGCATGTTGGTGGCCCGCTACTTACGCAGAGGTCGATTTTTGACTCAAGTTTGGAAGCAACACAGCAGGCTCAACATGGCAAATCACCAGTGCAATGTGGGGAGATAACCAACATCACCTCATACTCTAGGTTGTTACTCTTTGCCTGTGCTACTTACCTGGTGCTGCGGAGGCGCACCCGCATTACGAGCGTGCTGCCTGCTCTGACTGGCACCCCTCCTAGGGTCTGCCACTCCTTGGATAAGTGCTTCCCTTCACAAGTGAAGAAAACAGCCGCCTCGCACATCTGGCTGGACCTTCCATGAGTCCACCTCTGCAAAATGGATTGCTTTAGGTCCTCCAAGCTTCTCGTGACTGGCTCTCTCACCACTAGAGTCTCCCCACTCAGTGATTTCACAAAGAACTGGACTTCTTCCGGTTCCGTAGGCACGTTAGATAGATTACAGGGGCTATTTTGCTGAGCACTCTGCCTGCTAGACGCTGTTTCAAGATCATCTTCTACCCGAGCATGCTTGCTGCTCTCAGTCCTGGTGTAATTTGATGGTGAATCAACGTCTCGCTTCCTTGATCTGTCCTCAGCCATGCCGGTGATCCAATCTGCAAAAAAGCTATGTACAACTTTAGCGACGTAACAAGATACATTGTCGCACCAGCCAGGAGTATTCAAGAGATGCTTCCCCTCGAAGTCTAGTTGTTTGCAGATTGAGCAGGGCTGGCGTGCAATCCTCTGTTTTCAGCATTGCCAGCTGTGGAGTAGTGCCCTGCATCTCGTCGCTGAATGGGAAACCCCCGAAGTGCTGCTCCCTTCCTGAGCAATCAGAAAGCAATTGCTAGACAAACAGACTCCTAACTTGGACACAAACAGACTCTTAACTTTGTCACCTCAAGTGAAGCACTGCAGCAAACAATGTACACATTATGGCATGTGGAGATGGACAGAATGAGTTACACCACTAACCTTCACATTGAGTTCAAGAAGCCCCTCCTTGAGGAGAATCGTCTGAGGTCTAAGACGATTGCACTCGGCAGATAGCCTTGGTTACAGTCAGAGTCCCACCAGGACCTGAATGACACCCTTTCAGACCACCCGTCCTGTCGAAACTTCCTTCAATGCTGGCCTCTCGCTCTCTTTACTCCCAAAGCAAGAGGCTATGGTGGACTCAAAGGAGCTGGATCAATATGGCATGGGCACGAAGCTGCATGATGCATGATGCATGATGGTAGCTGACCAATTGACCAGTGCTAAGCTTATCCTAGCTGCCGCCATTTTGGCTGCATTTGCCACAGCGTCAGGCTCAGCTACCGTACAAATAGGTAATACAATGTACATTCTGCCAGCCGGTGGTCTGAGTGGAGCTTTCAACTTCAACTTCAAGAAGTTCGGTGCGAAATTTGGGAAACTGGAACGCGCTGACCCTTCAAGAATACGGGTTTGGCCGGGTTTGGCCCCTCCAGGGACTTGTGTATGGGCCCCGGTCCGTGTTCCGACATTGGCGACAGAACGTCTTCTTTCCCGTTGTTCAGCTTGTAGTCTATAGATCACAACAGGTATGAAGTATCGTGAGTGACGGTGAATGAGCTCCAACAACCGGCTTTTGTGTCTAGCTCAAACAGAAGTCCCCCGGTTGTTCTTTCAGAGCAGCCGTGAGTATTGGGTTATGACTAAACCGTTATGGGTCCCCCTGCAAGGGTTTTAGGGTTTCGCTTCAATCAGTCAACGCGTTCTGAATCTGAGCAGAAAAGTACCTGGCAGGAAGGTAGGGGCGCCTGCTGTCTCTCAAAGATGTCGCCTTTCTGTTCTTGATTGCCTGGGTTTTTGGCTTCCTGGTTTTCTACTCGATCAAGTGAGGGCCTGATGAGGAAAGATCTGGGAGTTTCGGAGGGGGGAAAGATTGGGGGAATTCTGCAAAAACCGAGTCGCCAGCGGGATTGAAGGCAATCTCAATGCATCGCTGCGAAAAATTGAAGCTGATCGAGCGAAAGTAGCAATTGCCCCATCTTGATGACTCAACCACGTCTGTAAGGTACTTGGAGAGCACGCTGCTGCGGCATTGAGAAGGTGATTGCATCATTCTGTTCAGTAACTCTGTGTCCCAGCTGTCAGAATGGGGGTCATGGAAGGCGTGGGATGGAAGCGGATGCGGAGCCACTCTGCCTTTCTGGCGGTTATTCTGCTCGCTTCCGTCTCCCTGCGCTTCGCCTTTCAGACCTGCCATTTGAATACAATGGGGTTCCAAGCCCCTAGAGACATGGGGGCAATGAGGGGCCTAGCCAGCAGTTTTCTTGGTCGGAGCAGGAGCCGGGATACCACAATTCCCATCTTCTTCTATATCACCGAAATGAAAGCGAGCGCCCTGGTGTTTCTCAACATCACCGCGACGTTCAATCCCGACACGCCCCTCTACATGCTCACAAGCAATGCAACCCCCCCAAAAGGAGAGATCTTGAGTAGCTTGAAGCAGCTGGGAGTGAAGGTGCGATACGTCGAGCACTACATTCACCCCGGGTCCGACATCGAAGTCTTCCGCAAGCATTACATTCATCGAGCGGTCAACCCGCTCTGGTATGAGAGGATGTGCTTCGAGCGGTTCTTTATCCTCAAAGAAGTCGCTTTGCTGGAAGGGATAGACAGGATGGCGTACTCGGATGCTGACATCGCACTCTTCATGGACGTACACGACACGCCGTTCGCCAAGTTCCGCTCCGGGTTTGTGAGCATCACGCAGTGGTCGACCTACTTTGGCCTCTGGCGCTTCGAGACGCTGCAGGAGTTCTGCCAGTACATGCTGTGGTTCTATCAGGTGAGGGACTCTGGCTCTTCTGGTCTTCTAGGTTTTGAAGCTTCTGTTTAGATTCTGCACACGTAGATGTCAATGGACGCACTTCCAGCTACTTCTCACTTGGTTCAAGAGCATACAGCCAGAAGTTGACCAGCAGAGTTAGTTTCAAAGACTCAAGATGCGGGCTTTGATATATTGTTTTAAAATCCGCTCATGGACAGGCTCTTAGAAGGCATGCCATCTCGCGGGTAGTTTGACAGCCCGTGGATTGGCTGCCTAGGCTTCTGGCGCCCTCCTCTCCTGGTACTGACGCCTTTGATAGCTTCCTGAGGCAATCTACTTTTTGATTGACGGTTTCCCAGCCTCTTGTGACGCCCTTGCCCTGCCAAACTAGGTCGAGTCTTGGCTGAAGGGCATTTCTTGAGGAATTTGGAAACAGCATACAACTACCTCCTTTCAAGTTATCATAACTCTTCACGCTTCCTCAGTTCCACGTAGGCCACTTCTGCTTTATGCACTAGCCTTTTCAAGGGCCTTGTAGATATCTGAGAGATGAGTCCACCTGATGAGCTGCGGGAAGAATCATGCCAAAACAAACTGGCAAACGTTCCCTAGAGCCATGGATCCAGCAGCTTTTGACGGTTTCTGGGCCGCGCTGTCTGTCTCTAGTCAGAGCGGATATGCTTTTGGTTAGGCACCTAATCAAGTCCCCTTGTGTGCGCCCTCGATCAAGAAAAACCAGATCAGAACTGAGGCAGAAGATACGCCAGTATGGGGACTGTGGCTAACCCCCCCGATACATCCAAACTGTTCTTATTTTCCCCCCCTTTTTGGAAAATGGAGACCCAAAAACTCCAGAAGCTTGACACGTCCCTCTTCCATGGTTTTGCAGAGGCCCGAGTCGGAGGTCGACGACACGATTCACCAGTACGGCGACTACATCCTGTACCCCCGGGACGCGGACCCAAAGAACCAGAGCAACTACGTGTGGCAGTTCAGCGACATGTTCATGCTCTCGGCGTTCCTGCAATCGCAAAACGTGAGCAAGACGACGCTCCTGGACAACGAGGACGCGATGAAGTCGTTGGTGGCGCTAGAGAACCCCAACCGGTAAGCGCGACTTAGCCGCTTCTTCTCTGCGCTTTCTAACGACTTTTCCCGATTTTGTCGTGAGCTTTGACGATTGTTCCCAGTTTCTGGCGAGCTTGGCAGGCGGTCTTGCAGGCGATGGCTAACGAAGAATTTCCCAGCTGACTTCCAGAAGTCGAGCGGGATATACAAGCCGTTGGAACTCACCCTGGTTCGGCCTCACTTGACTGACTCCCTTTTGCAGTCCCCTTTGTCCGTTCTCTAGAAAAGGAGGAATCTTATTGTTGCTCCATGTGTGGCGTGCAGGTTACGGCCGCCAGGAGACGAGTCCTTCATATGCGAAAGCGGGGCGCATTTCGACTCGTATCTAGACTGGCGGATGACGCCCCGTGGCGTTTTGGGGCCCTACCATAACGGCACTCTGTTGGCAGGAATACACTTCCAGGGGCCCTGCAAAGATAAGGTAGTCCCTCACGTATTTCAAAAGCTGTTTCCGGGCTCCGCCCCAGAGAGGTGGCAATGGAGACGATGATAGTACAGCTGTCACAAGGTGAACCGTCGGTTGCGTCAGTCAAGGACTCATGCGGAGTCCATAGCTAGCAGGCAAGCATAACTTGGTTGCATTCTGCGCGCCTCCGTTCGTGGCTTTCAAACGACGCGTACGGGACAAGATGAGGTCCATGTATGACACCTTATAGGCGTTTGCATACAGGGAATAGATGTTGCGATTGCGAAATGATGTAGTCCCTTATGTACGCCTTCGAGACGTTGAGGCTTACTTCATCGAAGAACATGTTTATCTTAGCGGCGCACGCAGGTTCAGTAACTTAGGTTTGGTCAGACGATCTAATCATGGCCTGGCGGCCGCCTCGATATGCACGTTCACAAACGTGCGCACGGCCTGCAGGCACGGCCGCGTCATGCAATAACTAGAGCTGTCGATCTAGCTAGCTAGACAGCAGCGGGCCCCTCACGTGATGATCAATCATGTATATACTCGTCATGCATGCACATCATGTTGTGAATGAAAAATTAACCTGTGTATGTACTATGATAACTTAGTAAAGTTGCCCTATATTGGCTTGCCTCTTTACTCTTAGTAAAGAGAGAGCTATAGTATTTGGGGAACGTCGCGGTTCGGGCGACACTGTACGACGCCGCGGTGCGGGGCCCTGAGTGACCCCAGTCTGCGCTGGATTTTGGGCTTGCCTGGCGTTCGACGGAAAACGTACAGCAAAGCCGAAACAGATTGGCACACCCTTATGGCCATTTCGTTTCAGACTCCCTCGCGCGGCTGCGTCGAAACTGCCTCGCCGTCGAATGCGCCCGCGGTGCCGCCGATAGTTCGGACGTAACGCTGTAATGCCTCGCTCGTATCCTTCTTTCTTCTTTCTTGTCCAGCATTTTAGGTGGATACAAAGCTGCAGCATTACTTCGTCGGCCATGGCGACTCCTTCTGCAATGGAGGCGGGAGCGAATCCTGGAGAGTAGATAGACACATATGTGCAGGTTATCAGCCCAGTGGCAGCTTACGAGCCTTTCTGTGGGAAGATAGTCAGCTGGGATGGTCCAGACGCGGGTTACACTATCAGGAAGATGGGCACCTGTAGACTTATATCTGCTGTTCTTGCTAAAGACATGCAATTTATTCCGCAACAGTACAGCTCTATGCTTGGAGCATCCCCAGTTTCTGCGGAGTCGCCTGCTGTAGCTCGTGCATGTGAGAGTTCTAAACAAGCTGCCAGCCAGCTGGACGAATCTCCTTACGTAAGTCCTGGTTTTTCGTCGTTTACTGCTTCTCCGCCTCATACCTCCCCACGCTCTTCAGCACCGCCTGATGCTCCCCCAAGCTTTCCAGCAGATACACCATTGACATCTGATGGTGTAGGTGCTTTTTCTGAAGACTCTTCAGAAGAAGACGTGCCTAATTACACTTGCAAACCCGTCGTGGTCGACAGCTGCCAGTTCAGCAAGCAAAAGGTAGCAAACAAGCTCCAACGGCTGCAGTCCAGTCAATGAAAGGCATCTGTAAGCTTCCTAGCACGTCTTCACGGTCGCAGTTATACGCAGTTCGCATCCAAGTTGCTGGCAGGCGCTGTCGGGTAGGTGAATTCTCTTCGGCGGCTGCAGCTGCACGGGCGTACATCTTCATGCGGGAGAAGCTGGGAGCACGTGTTCAGAACATTCGTGACTTGGACTTCACTGCGCAGGGGATGCCGTTGGATGCAGAAGAAGCTTATGCAATGAAATGTCTGCAACAGATTCAAGGTGAGTTTACAGAAGGTGAGAATCAACGACATTTTATTGGCGTGCGTCCAATTTCTTCTCCTTCTGGGAAGTGTTACGAAGCACGTATTACATTTTCAAAAAAGACTTTCATTCTGGGACACTTCCCAAAAGCTGAGGAAGCAGCCGCTGCGTACGATTGCGCCGTCCGCATCAGCCGAACTAAGCGGAAAACGAACTTCCCAGCGGACCAGTCCCTCGATATCCCCGAAAACGAACGCCATTAGATCATCACCCTACTTTCTACCATCAATGACTGCATTACTCCAGATGCAAGCACTACTTCGCCCGTTCTATCCCAAAGAACGAACTTCTCGGACGCATGCGCTCGGTTTGAGCGACTTAGCAATGAAAGGCCCATATTCGTTTGTACGTGCTGTCGCAGAACGTGGTTCAGACGTTCTGTTCATAAACTTTCGTCCGCTTTGCGGGACCGAGCAGGCCCCCAAAACAGTGCTAAATGGTTCGCTTCCCAGCTCTCTGTGGATAATACTGAATGGATTTGCACAACGTGCTACAACTACGTGTCCAAAGGCCGAACTCCCCCTATGGCACCCTGCAAGCAGCCGGATCTTACCGCAATTCCAACTCCTTTACAAGGCCTTACGAGCATGGAAAATGATCTAATCGCGCTACGACTGGCTTTTATTAGGATTCGAGGTTTGCCACCGTCGGCATCTGGAGATCCCCGCAGATTGGGTCAACGCGCCCTGAAGGGCATGGTTACCAATGTTCCAGCAGATCTAAGCAAAATACAGCTATCTCTACCTCGACAACTTTCTGGAGAGGATATTATACCCGTGTCTATTTAATACAAACTAAAATACCGCGCTTCTTATAAAACTGCCGAAAACGTGCGACCGCACCGCCTGCGAGAGGCTTTGCAGTATCTCGTTTCTGAACCAACGCTCTGGAGAGATGCTCAAGTATCTATTCGAGCTGATTGGTTACGTCAGAGTGAAGCCGATGCAAATGCTTGTAGAACCGATGATTCCGAATTGCCATCTGATAACGCTTCTGACAGTAGCGAAGATGAGAATGCCGGGCCCGGTACGGAAGCTCTCCCTGAAGAAGAAACGTTTCTGGATGACTTGTATGCGCAGCCAACAGTATCGAGAACAGCTATTAACATTGCTCCTTCTGAAAATCAAACGCCTGTAGGAATGCTCCAAGATATTCACGGTGAAGAAAAGTGTTTCCCGTCGCTGTTTGCTGGATGCGCGCGACCACAATCATCTCTTTCATACAGTCAGCTAACTCGCTTTGAACTAACAAATGTCGACCGCCGTTTCGCTTCGCATGCCAGCTGTCTCTTTTACAAGCTTCGAAAATTACAAATGATTCAGCTAAGTCGCTTAGGAAAGATGCGCGTTCGTAAAAGCAAACTTGAAGGTCGCCAGCCGCTCACTGCCGCAGAGGTTCGCGACTCGTCTGCACGAGAAAAGCTACTCTCAAAGAACATTGGTTATCGTGATCTAAAGACCCTACGTGGTAGCCCAGACTACGATCGTGAAGGAAAACGAGAAGCTTTTGGAATGATCCGACAACTCGGACCGTTCCAATTATTTTGCACTTTTTCGATGGCTGAAACTAAGTGGGGTGGCCTATTGCAGACTCTGTACCGATTAGCTTCTGGCGAAGACATAACAAAAGTGGCAGCTCTCGCGCTTCCCTGGGAACAGAAAGCAATACTAGTAAGAAATGACCCTGTTACCACTGCCCGTTGTTATTGTAACCGACGTGACCTAATTTTTTCTACTCTCTCCCAATGCTCTGAACTTCTTGGTCAAGTAACCGACTTCTTCTGGAGAGACGAGTTCCAAAAACGAGGCACTGCCCACACACATGCAGCTTTCTATATAGCTGCTGCTCCCCGCTTTGGAATCTCACCGGATAGCGAGATATGTGCATTCATTGACCAGCGTATTACCTGTTCCACTGAAGATGCATCTGCTTCGGACATTCAAGGTCAACAACATAACCATTCTAAACGATACTGCCTAAAAGATCCTGATTCTGCAGGAAAACGTGTCTGTCGTTTCGATTTTCCCCGCGTTCCAACGTTTTCCACAGTACTGCTGAGACCTCTTCCCGAGAACGTCCCTGAATCAGAAAAACGTAGTCTCTGCCGAATATATAAGCAAGCTAAAGCTTTAATTGACGCTCTTTCAGAAGCTGAACTCGAAGAAATGTCGACTTTTGAGTTCATCTGCCGGCTACGCGTAACCAGAGACAGATATGACCTTGCTTTGCGTGCTAGTGTCTGCAAACCTACCATCTTTTTGAAAAGAGCACCAAAAGAGAGGAGGATAAATCCCTACAATCCGCGCTTGTTACAAATTCTGCATACAAATATGGATTGCCAGTTTGCCCTTGACGTTTATGCAGCGGCAAACTATATAACTTCATACATGATGAAAACAGACTTGAAAATGAGCAAACTTTTGCGCGCCGCTTATCGGGAAGCTAGTCTCGGGAACATGGGCCTTCAACAGTCTGTGAGGCATGCAGGTTCCGCATTCATTCGAGGTCAAGAAGTTTGTGCACAACAAGCTGTGTACAGTTGTTAAGGTCTGCCGCTTCGACTGTACTCGCGATCACATCTTCATTCCTTCTTCCAGACCAGCAGAACGAACGTTTCTTTTGAAGGATGACCAATATTTGAAATCTTTGCCGCCAAATTCTACGAATTGCGTTCACGCAAGCGTCGTTGACCGATATGCTGCTCGCCTCTCGAACGTAACGCTGCAAGGCACTGAATCCCTTTGCTTGGCTGACTTCGCCGCTTGGTATGAATACTCGTCAACGTTTCCTAAAGCCGAAGAGGACGTATACGACGACGCGCTTCCTGACACCGATCTTTCCCCTGCAACAGACGACGTACCAATTGACGTCGTAGATGACGTCAAAAAAACTTCTGTTCGGTCAACCCCGTCATTGTCCGATCGCATATATCGAAAACGCTCCAAAGCAAAAGTAATTCATTTTGTGCACTTCAAAGAGAGCGAGGACACAGACGCTTACTTTCGTGAACAGTTGTTGCTGTTTTATCCTTGGTCTTTACCCCTTGATAACCCAGTAGATATCTCTTTGCACGAAGATGAAGCGCTTCTTCACGGACTTCACGGTTGTTCTTCATTTGAAGCCAGGTTTCAAGAAGTAGAACTGTCGATACAAGAGAATGCTGCGCGCTTCTTTGCCGACGCTAACGTAGACTGGAACGCAGTAGAAGAAACCGCGGAAACTTTACCCGCAGCAGACACCGCACACCTCAAGTCTTTGTTACAGGGCTACGAGCAAGAAGAGCGTGCCATAAGTGATGAGGATGACGATGATGACGCAGACGACACGGAGAATCCGCTACAGCCCGCCCCTCCTCCGGAATATCAAATTGACCCAGAACTGCAGCCATCTAATGCTTCGCAGATCAGTGAAACAATTCCGTGCGCTGATTTCGTGCTGTCGGATTCTCAATTTCGTCAAGAGATGCGGAAACTTACGAAAGCCCAAAGACTTTACGTGGATCATGTTATGAGCTGCC